CAGCACGCCTGTTTTTTTCAGTTTGTCTGCCGTGGCAAGTGGAGTGCGGATTCGGAAACCCTCGATGCATTTCAAGAAAGAAACTGAACGATGGTCGCATGGACTGCTATACGGGGGTTGACGAAGGTAAGTAGACCTATAGTTATTTCGCCAAAAAACATGTCATGTTCTCTTTCGTTGATTTATGCGATTACCTTTCGAATGTAATTTCGTTTTTTTTTTAAATTTCCGCGACATCTGATCAAAATACCTTCAATCCTTATCGTTCTAACTTCACATTTCGCTTGCAGCTCTGTAAAACGGTGTCGAGGCTGAAAACATGGCAGCATTTAGTGCGACTTCTTTTTAAAATGAACTTCTTGAAGGAGTGGAAGTTGCTTTAGGAATAGGAAAAGCTAATTGTGGCAAAAGTGACTGAACGAGTGAGTGACTGCAAGGGATCGTAATACTGGATTGTTGGAAAAACAACTTCGGACTTTGTTGCAGAGTTTGCACGCTTCGCTCGCAAAAACATATCTATGGCAACCACAGTGATGCTTAGATATTTGCAAAACTCCGGACCGCAAATGACTGCGGTGAGGAACGAACGGGCTATCACCCTTTCCGGACAAGCGTGTTCACCATCACACCATGCTGGTCCTTCGTTTCGCTTGTCTCTCAGCTAGTTCTATCGATCAGTGCTGTCAGCAATCACCTGTCAACAGGATTGATCTGAGAGGACCAAGTCGGTGATGGACCCAACTAAGCTGGGGCTGTAGTCTAAATATCTCAGCATCGCTGTGATTGGATCACACGTAATACCCTGCCGTGAAAAATTATAATAGGCAGTAAATAAAAAACTGGCATTTTCATGTCATTTCGTTCATACGGCACATTATATGCAGTATGAGTTACATATCACTCACGAATGGTCGAAGCTGATTACCCATCTCAACAAGCATATCTGTTTTGTTGCAAGTTTTGCCAATTGAAATAAAATCCATTAGAATCCACGCTTCTGTGGAACTTATCCGATTTCATCAGGATGAAATTCTAGTCTTTTTTGGTCTAAAAATGCTCTTTTTTCACTTTTTGTGCTCAACATGTAGTATCAGACGTATAGTGTTGGCAACCACTGGGCTTGTCTCAAGAATTTTTGAAACATTTGCATCGTTACATTTTTTAAACCTAAGTTAAAGGAGCGTATGGCATTAAGAAAAATATAAATATAATCTTAAAGCACTTGGATAGATCTCTTTTATAACCCTGGAAAGTAGTCAACTATTTCTTTCCAGTTCAATTTATTTTGATTACAATGAAGAAAGCAACCTTGAAGAATCTCTCTCTACGATTGGGAACTTTCACAAAGACTTGCGGTTATGGCTGTCATAATGTACATCGTGTTCAGTCTTGAAACTCTTAAATTCATCATCTGGAATCGTTGGATTCAAAACTCATCTTAGAACCGTCCCATCACATAGAAATCATTCATTTTCCCAATTCGTTTTATTTCACTAAGACAAGTCTTTGAATTCCAATCGCGCTAGGGGTTTCATAAGTGCAACATTGGATAAAACTGCGATGAGACTTTGTAGGGCCTAGCATCTAGTGTGTAGCATTATTATGCGACCACACATGAGATTAAGGCACTGGGAATTTCAACAGCTTTGTCCAAAAATTCTAGAGTTCCTCATATATCTTGGTAATCAAAACTCGTTTTCTTACAGCTTGAAAATCATGTGATCACTGCAATAGAATTTTCAGGATGTCCATCGCACTACTTCGTCTGCAAAGACAAAAACGCCTGCGTCGATCCGAAGTTCTTTCAAGACGGAACTCGCCATTGTATGGACGGCAGTGACGAGCGTTGGTCTTTTTCCTTGAAAGCACTGAAAGTCTATCAATCGATTAGTATGTTTAACACATATGGTAGATAGGCGTGATCGGATGATCATTGATAAAACAAAACAAAAAAATTTCTTTCTGAAGGCAAAAAAGAACTGAACGTTAACTGTTTTGGGTGACAGTGCTAGACGGAGCTTCGGATTTAAATAGCATATATGGTGATTGCACAAAAAATTGGATTTTTTGTTGAATTAGAGTGTAATGAGCCAGTACTTAATGAGACTTTTGTCGTTGTTGTTCTTACCACTCAACCAACATGGAAAATTAAAGAGATCTTTTATTTGCAGCAATTCAAACGAGGATGTAAGACATTCCTTCTATGAGTGTGGTGAATTTGTTTTGTGCAAGTAGAGTTGATTAGATAGAAGGATAAAGGGAAAATCTTTAACGTTCATCAATCATCGAGGGAGGTGCGGTGCATTTATCTACACTCATAACATCGTAAGGAAGGGGTGCAGGGTCTGGTTTTTTCGGGGAGTGGGATTGAGTCGTCGACCATGTGTTTGCTGCAGGGCATCTCCCTCCACTGCAGTACAGATGCGCTCAACCAGAATCCATTAGAACAATACATGAAAAAAAATACTCAACTTAGCAAGTTCACCCTGCTTCCTGCCAAAGAAAAATTCGAGCGAAATTGAGAACAAACGAAGAAGATCTTTTGATCGTGAAGAGTGTCTACTATTGAGACTTAATAAAATAGGGGATTTAAATTAAGTATGAAGTCAAGAAATTCTCTAACGGATTACTAACTGGTTTCTTCAGTATCGTTCGGAATTCTTTTCAAACTCATTGATTTCGTCCTGTAAGACCCGAAAGGTTTTGAAGCCACTCCTGATCAAGGGCGAGGACTGATGCCGGAGGTTTTCAGGACTGTCACGACCATGAAACTTGTCCATTGGTTGCGGGTCGGAAAAGTCAAGAGGCGCAACCTGTGCTTCGCATAAAGAAATAACAAAAGCCGTGAAACGACTAGAGGAGTCGTCATACTGTCACTAACCAACGGGAAAAGTAGTAGAAATTTTAAATTTCTTATCTGGAGAACCTCCAAACGATTTACCGCCTCATCGTGGCTGGGTCGTGTTCTTGGCTATCGGGCTGCAATGTACAGTAGGGGATGAATCACCCTGGCAGGGTCTCCCATGCTAAGAAGGAATCCGGCGTTTCCAACAGGAAGCCCAGCTAAAAGTAAACCAATAGCACGATCCACAACTGTCCTGGCAACAAACTAGTCGCAAGGTAGAAAATCTCCCACTGATACACAACGGCGTCGAGTTTGTGGTGGTGACGACCTAGGGCAGGCTTTGGCTAGGTTGATTACCTCGGCACTCCAGGAAAACAATGGCTGAACCAGCAGGACTCCAAAAAAATGGAAATTATGCTGGGGTCCGCACAACCAGTGTAGACGGGCCATCGAAGTACCCAAGCATCCATGTATCCAAGTAAGAATTAGGAAAACAAAGGGAAGGCTAACGAAAACGCATATCTCGTAGCAAAGTTGTTTCTTTGGGTTATGTAACCTTCAGGTTTTGCGCAACCATTTTGCCTTTGAAATTGCTATGTTCGACGACTTGTAAGGCTCTATATAGAATTATGCAATATAAAAAAACCTACGCCTTAATCTAGGGCAAAGATTAAGAAAGGACCGGGCTTTTCGACCATTAAATCCTTAGAGCTTATAGACAGCGAACTGACTTAAACATCTTTTTTGATCCAAGTCATTCTTTTATTTAGCGTGTCCACCAGACCACTTTCCATGCAGTGATTCTTCAAAGTGTATTGCCATGAAGAAATTTCAAGATGGTGTAGAAGATTGTGCTGATGGAAGTGACGAAGGTATCTCAGTAGCTAATTTAAACAACCTCTGTTACTGCATATTTTTTTCCATAGCTGGATGGTTACTGTTTACGAGTAACCATAAAGACTCCAGAAGAACTCCTTTCGCTGGAGTTTTATGGTAGCCATATTTGGGCGCTCTCAACTTGTCAACCTCATGGAAAATCGCCATCTCTTGTGAATCGGAGAGAGATGCGCCATCTTACAATTAGGTTGCTATCAATGTTGCACTAATTTCTGGCATTAGTTTAAAGCTCTAAGATGAAAATATCGACATCCTCAGTAAACGATTCTAATGGAAATGAACTCCAGCTGTAAATCGTAGTCAGGTAGCCGAGATTACCCTCATACACTTATGAGACGATCAATCATTGAAGAGGGGCTGAGATATCGTGTGCAATTAGCGTTTTACACTAACTAATTTATTGATATCGCATCTATTGTTAAGTTTAAAAGAGGTTACTAAATATCTTTACTGTGGCTGAACTTTCTATACCTTCATAGACATTCGTCGGAACCTCAGCCAAAATAAGGTTTCTACCACCTCCGTGTATCGATGAGATTACCAGCCTCCTTTCATAGATTGGTTAGATAGGACTCACTGAATAAAAATAATTAACCGATTATTTTTAGTAATCTTACACATCGTAAAATAACCTCGGGAAGGTTATAGTAGATGGCGCCGATTTATTGAAAACTTCAATAAGTTCTTGAATGGCCTTTGTAGTAACACAGGAGCTTAAGGAGAGGACTACTTTGATGTTTATATGCATTCTATTCTTTCCTTAACTGTCTCCTACTGAGGCATTAGAAGAAGTGAAGGCGTTGGGCTGCCAATGTAGGAGCACGCAGTTCTTTCGAAAGTTCGACGATTGGGGAACACGTTTTCTATTCAGTAACGACATCCTTCTTTATGCATCGTTTATTGCAGGTGTTGAGCAATTTCAATGGAATTCCCAGGAATGGTTTTTTTTGGTCGTGACACTTATAATCAACATCATATGTTTTTCATAAATCGTCATGAGGCTATTGTGCATTAATCGTATTCGATGGCGTTGGGTTACGTTTCTGCGAATTGAGAACCTTGCTCAAAAAAACTTCCATCCGTTAGACTCTCAGCGCTCTGTAATTCATCTATGTTCAGAAGGACAAAAGAAAACATAAACCTGCTTAACCACTTTTTGCCGTTTCATAGAGAGTACATGAACATTAGGAGAAATTTAGTGGCAAACAAAATTTTCAGATATTCCGGCACTTCTTCTTCACGAAGTCCGAAAAAGCCGTTAAAATTCCAGAATAGGAGCACACCTTGCACTAGCTATACGTTCACTCCAGTGTAGAGGAAGGCTAGTATTCCCCCAATCCGCTCGTTTCCTTCTACTCAACTCTGGAGCCAAGTCGCTCATCACATTGATTTCCCGACCTAGATAGATATAACTGGGAGCATTCGGAGATATTCGTTTCGTTGAGCGTGAATGGGGCATTCCAAATACGAAACTAATCCATTCCTTATAAACATCGCTTTTGTGAGAATTAGTACAAGGCAGGCCAGTCTTTCCACAGGCTTTATCAAAGTCGGCAAGCATTCTTTCCGCTTCGCTAAGGTTTGGTGTTATAAGAGCGATGTCATCAGTAAAGCGAAGATGGTGTAACTGCCGACCATCCATTTTCACTCCCATATTATCCCATTCCAATTTTCGCATGACGTTCTGGAGACTAGCGGTGAATAATTTTGGCGAAATGGTATCGCCTTGCCTAATCTCTCTTCTGACGTCGATTTTAATATCGTTGTAGAATGGTGATATCTTGGTTGTGAAATTTTTGTATAGCTCACGAAAAATCTTTATGTACTGAGTAGGGATTCTTTGACTATCAAGGACTCCCGTGACTGCTTCTAACTCAATTGAATCAAAGGCCTTCTGTAAATCGATGAAAATGAGACAAAGCAGTCTTTTGTACTCTCGTGATACTTCAATGAATTTTTTTCGAAACCCTGCTTGATCACATGGCTGTCCTTCATTCAGTGTTTTGTCAAACCTGTTTAGGACGACTCGAGTGAAAAGTTTGTAGACAACAGACAGCAAGCAAATTGGGCGATAGTTGCCGATATCGTGTAGGTCTCCCTTCTTGGACCAAAACACGGTCTTGTTGGTAGGGACCTTGCATTCAGATAAGTAACGTTTGAAGGAGGAGCCGAGTCATTGTGTTTACGAGGACTAGCGGAAGGTTCTTCAGGTGTTTTGATCTTATCCTGTACGGCTCTGGTGCTGTGCGATTTTTCACTGACGAAATGGCATGTTGGATTTCGGAAAGGGAGAACCTGTGGTACAACATATCCACTCTCCTTGATTTCATATGACGGATGGTGGACATGGCTATCGAAGTGATCTGAGTAGTATTCGTGGAAAATTTTCTCCATTGCCCTTCTAGATGCTGTAGCTGTTCCGTCTGGTCGTCGTGGTGCAATTATCTAGGTCTTGTAACTAGCGAAGCATCGGTGTGCTTTGTGAATGCTTTTCCCATCCTCTGCAGCTTCGACCATTACTGCTGCTCTTCTCTCTTTAAGATCTTCTTTTATCGCCTGTCTGCATTGTTTCGCAAGTTCGGACGTTTGTTCGCGGTTACCTGCAGCTCGTGCGATTCCTCGCTGGCGTATCAGCTCGAGTGTTTCTGGAGACAGATGTCTCTTGGTGAGTTTTGAATTCTCAGCTTTCATAGCGCTACGTGAAGATGTTGAATAAACCGATCGTATTCCTCGTCGATATTATGGACAACGGCATCTTTCCAACATCTTTCCAACAGCCGATTAATTAACTGAATAGGTCCCACCTTATGCTGGTCTTGGAACTTCGTTTTCTAAACTTAGCGGCTTTTAATCGTTTCTGCGAGAAACAGAATCTCTCACGAAGAAGGCGATGGTCTGATCCCGTTCAAAATTTTGGCACAACAGCGACATCAGTTAGGCAAAACCTTCGGTTTGCTATGATGTGGGCCCTTTCGTCATGGTACTCCCCACTGGAAAACACCCACGTCCAGCGCTGAGGGTGGGCTTTTGGAATTGGGTGTTACCATGGATGGCCTTGATCGCCATGATAAACTCAGATAGCCGCTCACCCTGTTCGTTCCATTTTAATCCGTAGGTCCCAATGTGACGTTTTTCAGACGTTCTTTTTGGTCCAGTCTTGGCGTTGAAATCTCCGATAATAACCTTGAAGCATGTATGGTTTTCTCCATAGAACTTCTCCAAGTCCACATAGAACGCTTCGACTTCTTCTTCGTCATGGTTTGATGTCGGCGCGTACACGACGGAGATTACCAAAGCCGGAATTGATCCACGTCTTTTTAATCGTAAACGTCCGATTCAGGTTGTAAGTTGTTCGAATAAATCGATGTTCATGGACAAACTCGTGTTGACGAGAACTCCAACGCCGCCGACTTCTCTACTGTCGCATGTTCCGAGGCACAGTTCTTCTCCGGTGTCATAGACGGCGTTGAAAGGCTGGCTTCTCCTCGTCTCGGCCAGCCCGATGACGTCGTACCTTATCCTTCTTGCTTGCATGAGAAGGTTTTCTATCGATGAGTCGGATGAAAGTGTACGTGCATTGTAGGTACAGATCGTCACCATAGTTCTTTGCAATTCAGGCAGCTTCCATTGGCTCTGAGATCTTAGCAGCCTCTCCGAACTAGCCCTACCCAATGCTGCGAAATTGGGGGCTCTTTCGGGGTCAGCGAAATGAGGCCCGCTTTTTTTCTACTGTGTTTAGCACTTTGATACCCACGTATAGCTTGCTGTGCTCTGAACGTGGGGCTGGCTATACTCACGGGTAGCTCGCCAGACTCTTCCAAAGTGGACATGGGGCTTATTTGTTGGCGACGACTCCTAACCGCCTCCCATATACTTCCCTGTCACTTGATTGCAGGCTTTTGGCCGAATTGACTCGTAGAATATAGTCCGCATAAACTAGAACGCATCCACACACGCGTCCATGAATACGCCTCTTAAATACAGATAGTATGTGCCAAGTCGGCGCAACAGAAACAGGTAGTCCGTTCCCTGGTTCCACCTGCGTCTCAGGGAAGCAAAAGTCGCTTTTGGTCCGCGATTAACCGCCTATCCGCCACCTGGCGATGCTCCACGTAGCCTCGGGGCTAACCGGCTCGAGACACCTCGAATGAGGGAGTCCGTGGAAAAATAATCTATTTATTTATTTATATGTTCCCATGAACTGGTCTTGTTGAGCTGATGCGAGGTTGGTATAGTTGCCATTGTTATTGTTGTCGTTGTTGTTTTAGTTGTTGGTCGAACGCTGACATTTCGGCGATTTCTTCTTCCTCAGAGCCGTGCTGTTACGAATGGGACTCATACCCGTAGCAGCACGGCTCGAAGAAAGGCGAAGTCGATGGAACGTCAGCAGTAGACCAACAAAGGAAACAACAATTACGACAACTCTACCAACCTTGCATCAGCTCAACAAGACTAGTTCATAAGAACATGTAAGTAAGCCACTCACTCTGTTCGTTGCATTCTGGTTCGTGAGTTCTAATCTGACACTTTTCAGATGTTTTTTTAAGCCCAATCTTTGCGTTAAAATCATTAGCTGTGACGCTAAATAAGGTGTCTTCTTTTCTGTAGGACGTCTGCAAGTCCATGCGTAAAGGCAAAGATTGTCAAAGTCGTTATTGATCCAAGTCCCGTTATAATTCGAAAAATCAACTTTCTGTAGTACGCGTAGTTAATAAACAATTTGCGTAAATCTTACGAACTGGTCTTGTTGATCGGACGAGAGATTGTTATCAGTTGTTTTCGTGATTGGCTGAACGACCTTTCTGCTTCCCACCTTCTTCAGAGCTTGTGCGTATTTTATGTACTCTATCCATATCATTCGCTGAATTGTCTACAGTATTAAGAAGATCTATTATACAAATCCTCTCAAAAGTTTACCGCCTCATCGTGACTGGGAGGTGTTCCTGGTTGTCGGGCTGTAATGTAGAGCAGGCGGATTCATTAACCCGGCAAGTTCTCCCAGACTGAAAAGGAGTCCGACGTTTCCACGAGGGAGCCCAGCTATGAGTAAAATAATACCAGGAACCACCACCGTTCTAGTATCAAACTGGTCGCATGTTGGAAAATTTTCCTCTGATCCACAAGGGCATCGATTGCCTGTGGTGGTGACGACCTGGAGCAGACTTTGCCCTAGCTGACCTCGGCACTCCAAGGAACCACAATGGCTAAATCAGCAAAACTCCAACAAAACGGAGATTATGCTGGGGGCAACACAACCAGCGAGGACGGGCCATCCAAGTGTTTAAGTGAGCAAGTATTATTCATACAAATCAACGCCACTTCGTTGAAATTTATTCACTACTTTAATATTTTTGAGACCATCCGTATGTTGTTCACGTGGGATGAAAAAATATCGTAAAGACGGTTGCCTCACTGCCATGTGTGATTTGACGCTTTCTTTCAGATGGACTTTTTAATTTGGGGGCCTCACTCGTCATCTCACGTGAGCGATAAACTGGTGGTCCCACACCGAGCGAAACGCTCAGTGGTTTTTCAACAAAATAGGATTCATTTATACAACTGATCTTCATTAATAGGAATAAGGATAAAAGGATAAAACTCTCGGCGTTGATCAATCCTTGAGGGATGCGCCATGCATTCGACTTCATTAAGTATCGTTTGGAGGTGAATGAATGTATATCTGGACTTTACAATGACTCACGGTGGCTTACTGATGTATCGAGCCAATGGTGCTATCCTTCTAGACAAGTCTGGTACCAACTTTCCGACCCAGCAGGAATGGAAGGCTTGGTGGGCCATGGGCGTGGGTTCGATTAAACGTGTGTGTTGTAGGGCGTCTCCGACCATTGCGCCACACGCGCCCTTAAGATCTCACTCGATCTTCATTAATATTATAGATAAGTCACCAAATTATGTGGATAAAAACAATGGTGCTGACGTATGAGTTTTCCTTATATATCAGCATTATAGTGGTTGTACTTCTCATCGTTCTCTTCCATTAAAAAATAATAGGCAATGGACGAATTCTTACAAGTACATAATTGGCTTATTAAAGAAAACGCAGCCGATCGTTACGAGTTGCTTATCGAACTACACACAAGTTGTGCTCTGAACAGGTTTCACTTCTTCTTTTAGTCAAAAAATTCAGACCTCATGTAAAACATTACCATGCATTTAAATTGTTGAGCTTATACTCACAGTTGTGAACCTTCTATTTTCTGCCTACTATACTTTTTCACGGCATGGTATGATATGAATTACAACCACAAGGATGCTGAGATATTCGCACAACTTGGACCTCTGGCCAGATGGAACCGCGATTTCCCTTTCCGGTGTCTCGCGCACGACACACTGCGCCACGGAGGCCCTTGCTCTGCGTTTCTTTCAGCTACACTTACACTTAGAATTATTACAATAGAAAGCTTACAACTGTTGAGCTGCTGAGCCTTCGTGACTTGACGGACAACTGTGGACCATCATCACAGATCATCGGCTTTGATGAAGGCGAAGACGTAGAAACGTTAGCCCAGTAAATCTAGCTAATACTGAAAAAATTTGCTTAATATTGGTCAACCTCGTGTAAGGCCAACAATTTGAACACATGTTGATTATTTTGGCACCGAGGTGAAATGACAGTCGGCTTTAGAATTGTTTTGAAGCGCCGTCTACTGCCCATCTTCAAAAATTTGTTCGTCTTCGAGACATTAGAGAGTATTGTTTCGTCGTTCCAAATATTCAAATAAGGTCCAAGTACTGTTAACTCAGTTAATCGCAGCGCAAGAGATTTGATAATGACTAAAAGCATGTTCCGCACTTGGATCTACGAATTTCATAAATTCTTAGGCAGAAAAACACAGGGAAACCCTCAGAATTTTCTTGTAACTGATCGAGCGGCGAAAAGCGGTGGCTCAGTCAACTACGATCCCTTGTAGTTTGTATTTTAAAAAATCCGGAAAAGCCTGAAGTCAACGTGTTTAACGCCGATGAAGAGCATTGTAGGGCAGTATGACTTTTCCGGTTAAAAAGTTGCTTCTACTAGTGGAGTCTGCTCTAAGATTCCCTTCTTTGGCACTACTTGTCTCTTTTCCTTCACAATTGACTGCAATGAATAAGTGTCTACCTATTTTGATCACTTGGAAAACGTGGTGAAGCCTCCTACAGTTTTCAAGCACTCCATGGACAGTTGCGCTATATAGTGTATTTCACTTCCACCTATATTTCATAGAGTTTAAATCAGTGTTTTTCTCTATAGAGTGCACGACATCTCAGTTGGAGTGTGGATGCGGAAGGATCCGTTGTGTGGCTCGGGAACGTGTGGGAGACGATTTCTGGGATTGTGAAGACGGAAGCGACGAACTGTTCAATGTCACTCAAGGTTTTTTGTTTCTTTAAGGAAGCAAAAACGATTGAAAAGACTCACATTTTCCGCTCGTCGTATTTTTTAACCTTCCAAGAAAATCAAAGACATTTGGCACTCCATCACAACGACTACCCAAGTTAGGATCGAAACTTCTATACGAATCTTGAAAAAAAAACGTTCAAACTCAAACAACTAGCGAGAGATATTTTTAATATGCATTCTTAGGCATTTCAACTTAATCGAGGAAAACGACCATTTTCGCAGAGCACAGTAGTCACCTGGTTGAAGGGATTCATCGTGATAAATTTCGTGATAAAATTCTTTTGGAAATTCGTTGCACGAACTTGAATTGTGTTGGGTGTTGGGCACGGGTTAATTCCAACGTCGTACTGCAAGCACGGCAGAATCGAAGACTTCTCCTGCTCTCATCTTTTCTTCGCATTCTTAGTCCGTATGAGCGGTTATTGTGTTCTGTTCTGATGTTTTAAAAGCTGCGCCACGTTCAAAGTCATTTTTATCAACTGTATTCCAATTCAGGTAAAAGTTGTCCAGACGGCTCCAAACGGAGGAATGGGGCCAACTCGGTGCTGCTCGGACAGCTACAACTCTGCACGGATCCTAACCTTTGCCATAGTAAACTCGGGGAGATCTGTATCGTAGGTTTTCGTGCAATACAACTAATAAGTCGTTCAGTAGGTGATATTCATTTCGCTCAGTTGTCGTAGCATTCATTCGCACCATACCATTATCACCGATCTCCGCTAATTTCCTAATGAGAAACGGAGAAATTTTAGGTGGTTGGCGGTTCGTGGCGCTGCGTTTGTCAACGGGGAAGTGTTCGTTTACCAGGATCCGTGAGGTGCATGCCTATTCCAGAAGTGCGGAAATACCTGAAGGAACCAATACCAAATTGTTCGGAAGCGAGAAATGATCTTCGCTTGCAATTCAACATTTCGTCAGGTATATGGATAATGGTTTTACAAAAATCCTAGAAGAATTGCGCCTCCGGTGATTGCTTTTTGTTTTCGGCAAACATTCAAATGAAACAACGCAGGTGCAACAATTTCTATGACGGTGTTTGTGTTAATGTCAGCGGGCCGTACACGGGGTTCCGATCTTGCAGAAATGTCTTAAAATATTCCGCTGACGAGTATTTGCTGATGGCAGCGCTAGCTAGAAAACTAGCTGAGAGAAGCACAGAGCAACGACTTCCGCGGTTCAGTGTGTAATGCGCGAGCCCTGGAAAGAGAAATCGTGGTTCGATACGGACCGGGGCACAGGTTTTGCAAATATCTGGTTGTCTTTACTTTTTTTTGATGCTCTCTGTCGTGTCTATACATCGCCTTCAGGTTCTTTTCAGAATTTCTTTTTGTTTTCGACAAGCATTAAGTTAAACAACATAAAGGATAAAGCTCTCGGCGTTGATCGATCTCTAGGGGATGCGCCATGTATTCGACTTCATTAAGTATCGTTTGGTGGTTATTGAATACATAACTGGTCTTTACAACGACGCGTGGTGGCTTACCGATGTATCGAGCTAGTGCTGCTATCCTCCCAGACAACCCTGGCACCGATTTGCCGACCCCGGAGTGATGAAAGGTTTGGTAGGTCATGGGCGCGAGGATCGATTCCACCGTGTGTGTTGCTGGACGCCTTTGACCATTGCGCCACACGCGCCCCTTGATGAATGAAATGAAATGAAATAACGCAGGTGCCACAATTTCCATTACGGTGTTGCCATCAATTTCAGCAGGCCAAACCCTGGGTTCCGATTTTGCAGAAATGTCTTAGTTTTTCTGATGTTTTGTCTCGCCTCCACTGATCGTCTACATGTCCTTTGCATGACTTCCTTCACTGCCTTTCCACTGCTGTCGGTTTCGCAGTGAGAAATGGAAAACTTACACCTCAAACTACGTCTAAAATTCCACAAGATCGAAGAAATCGGTGGCACGAAGGTAGCAGTGAAAGGGACAGGAGAGTGGGTAAAAAGTATAAAAACAAGAAAGGATAGGGAACATTTCTTGCATAATGAGACAGAGGGAAGTCACTTGTGTCACCTCTAATTCTGACCGTTGTTCGATCACTTACACTACCATTGCTGAAGTCTACATTGGTCTCCTTCTCTGGAACATAAATTGCTTCATCGGTAACCCTGTCCCGATTGGCATAGTGTTTAGACTTCTCAACGAGGTTTTTTTTTATTATTTCTGAGCAGCTATAATGGGCTTAGCATATGATTTTTTACTTCTTTGGAAGAGTAGCAATCAATAAAATGCACGTCTTGCAGCACTACTCGCTAAATCCCCTGTGCTGCTCTCCGAGAGCTCGGAGATTCGCCGCGCTCCACAACGAACACACCAGAAGGTGAGTGTACGAACTCGATAATTACCCCAATCATTTTCTTATTTTTTTTTATAATGGTGACACTTAGGACGAAAATAACAGCAATAAGTCGACCGAACAGCGGACCATTCATTTCGATTTAAAGAAACAAGGTTAGTGTTGACGCCATGCCGTTGCTACTGTGCCCTTAAAATATACGTCGTCGACCATCAGATAGAGTTATCGTAGTTTTGTTCAACGATAAAAGAATGCACGCAAGAAGATGGTCGGTACCGATCTGGTATCGGGCAAAGTAAGCTACCGCGTTTTGTTGCAGGTCACCCGAAACCAGTTGCATGCGCTTCCGGATCGTGTGCGTGCGATCCGTCGACTACAACATTCAATGGGACATGTATTCGTAAGCAATTTTCATCGCTGTACAATATCTGGCAATAAGAACGCTTCAAGAACTAGCCAACATCTGTAGCGTTGTACGAATGATGCGCTCGTTTAGTGCTGGTGGATGAGTGTGCGAATAGGACACTGAATGATTGCGACCCGAATGCTTCGTGCATGGACAGCCCGCTGGCGTACGAGTGTCTTTGCCGCGAAGGTTTCCTCGACGTCTCCGTCGATCCAGTTCAAAGACCGGGACGCAAGTGTATGAAGTGTTGGTAGCTTATCGGATAGCCGCAAAAAATATATTGTTAACATCTAGGAAACAGTTCTGGCAAAAAATTTGTTGGACAATTACATAACCTGAATGACATTTAATGATCGGTAAACTCTACAGATGCACGTAGTAAAGTTTGGAAATGGCAGTTCTAGTTCAGCCATTATGAGAAAGATGGCGAAAGCATTTAGGACGTTTTGAAAACATCTCATCTATTCTTACTAATTCTTATGATACTGCGTGTGGACGTGTGGCGCAATGGTCGGAAGCGCCACTGCGACACACACGTCGAATCGATCCCCGCGCCCATGGCCCACCAAGCCTACCATCCCCCCGGGGTCGCAAATTGGTACCAGACTTGTCTGGGAGGATAGCAGCACTGACTCGATACATTGGTAGGCCACCGCGAGTCATTGTAAAGGCCAGATATGCATTCATTCTTCTCCAAACGATGTTTAATGAAGTTGAATGCACACCACCTCAGGGATTGATCAACGCCGACAGCTTTATCCATTATCCTTTATCCTTTACGATACTGCAGGTATCTATCTATTAGAGCCGTTTAGCTATTTAGATGCCTCCATCCATAAGCTATTTTCTCAGACTCTCTGGATGCATAAGCCGCTATAAGCTATATTCATCAAATGGTGTGCTAGTTGAGCAAGTTTATCTTAACACTGAGTCCTAAATAACCAACACTATCACCGCTTTCCTGAATTCCGTCTACAGGTGATCACCGGCATATGTAGATGAGTGGGTGGTTTGTCCCACCGCGACAAAGTTTTCAAGGTGCCGACGATTTTTGAACTAGGTTTATGGTTTAGAGGTGGAAACGTCGAGTTTTTAATAGTGGCTGTGCCGAAAAGATGATCTTGGTGCTTTAAGTCGCAAATCGATAAGCTCCAGCCAGTTGAGCATTACGTTTTCCTTACCAAGTTACAGTCATATTATGCAGAATTACATTCTTTGTCCTCAATTAAATTCGAGAATCAAATGAGGTTTACAACGTTTCGCGATTAGCGAAGTGTTAGAGGTGCCTTTGAATAATATACGTATGGTCCTAGTAGGTACTCACTCCAGACCAACCAAGGCTCTTATCTCCCAGGGTCGGAAAATTGCTATCATATTTATTTATGTGACCTTATAAACTGATCTTCTTAAGCTGACGCGAGGTTGGTACAGGTCCTCGTTTTCGTTGTCTTTGTTTTTGATGTTATTGATCGATGGCTGACGTTTCGGCGACTTCGCCTTCCTCAGAGCCTGGACGTATTTTATATTAGAATATTTTTATTATTCGGTGGAAAAGAAAGGTTAAGGTGTTAATGGAGATCGAACTTTCAAATAGACGCCATATTAAACAGAAAGGCCACTCACCGTGATGTTACGTGCGGGACTGGCCGACACGTAGTTCACGCGAGCAAGACACGCCCCGGGGTCAAAATATCATTTTGAAATAGGGTGCCAGGTCACGCGTGATAGTGAGGCATTCGTCCTTCCGGTTCATCTTTGGATTTTTGAAATTTATCCAAAACACCTCAAGAGTTTTGCGCGTTGATGTTTTTGTTTCCTGCGCTAGGATCCGCACATTCACTTCAGAATCATCGCCGTTGTGCATTTGTGCCCTGTGCGTACCTAGAGGGGTGTTTAAACGGATTTTAGCTTTCCCATCTAGATGTTCTTTTGTGCGGACACAAAGTGGTCTACCCGTTTCCCCGATATATTCCTCGCCGCATGCATTACATGAGATCAAGTATATTACACCTAAACTCATGCATTCCCCGTCTCTCCCGTTAGGACAGATCATACAGTTTTCTGAGCTGCACAAACGATCATAGAGACGGTTTCGAACTAACTGGCGGCGTAGGGTCTTGGGTGGGGTGTCGATAAAAAACAATGACAACGAAAACGAAGACCTGTACCGACCTCGCGTCACCTTAAGAAGATCAGTTTATAAGATCACATGAACAAACATATCAACTATCTATGCCAAAGTTTATAGAAAGTAGGTCTTTCGAGTTATTAATTGCTATCATACTTGCAAGAGGTCAACTCACTTTCTGTCGTCCACATAAGCTGGTAGCAACTGCATGCGATGAAGATCTACAGACGTTATAGCACGGTTATTCCGTTGTTCCGGAAAACAGGAGAGAATCTACTTGACCAGCATTCATAAAAAAGACCAAGAATCCTGAATAGGTGGCCGAACACATCCAAACGGGAGGCTTTGTGGATGTTGTAAAAGATCGAATAAAATTTAAAAAAAAAACGTTGGGCTTCTTAGAATAACTGAAGTCGGACTATATAAACGAAAAATAACTAAAAACGTTATTAAGAGGCTGAAACCTGATCTTTATCACATTTATGTAGCACGCTTTGCCCTATCGTATTTAGTGTATGTATGACTCTGCTGGATTTTCACTACCTTGTCAAATTCACTTTATGTTTGCTTGGAATTCAATAACTTTCGAAAAATTAAGGGTGGAATTAAAAGTGTTAAATTGCTACGCGCTAACCAACTGCGCCAATGTAGCGCCTAACCTTTCAACAGCTTGTCACGTCATCGTGGCTGGAAGTTCCTGGGTGTCGGGCTATAATGTACAGCGGGTGGATTCGTCCCCTCTGCAGGGTCTCCCATGCTGAAGAGGATTCCGGTGTTTCCATCAGGAGGCCCAGCTAAGAATATACTAATACTGGTACCAAGATCCACCACCATCATCGTATCAAACTAGTCGCATGGTGGCAAACCTCCATCCGATCCACAAAGGCCGTCGGCTGCCTGTCGTGGTGAAGAACTGGAGCAGACTTTGGCCAGGCTGATCTCGGGACTCCAAGAAACCACAATGACCAGCGAAAATCCGAAAAACGGGCATTATGCTGAGGCTCGCACAACCAATGAAGGCGAGCCATCCAAGTATCCAGGTAACTAAACTGTTTAACGCAAATTTGGTGGCCGCAAATAACAACGAGACCGTTGACTCCATTATTTCGTCTTGCTCGACGAAATCCCACTGCTTCAATCGTTTCGCTGATAAAGCTTTAGAGATAAAGCTTATAAAGAGCTTCGTAGATTCCAGAAAGCAATTTCGTCCGAGTAGATTAAGCAAACATGCGCCCTCTCGGCGAATATCTTCAAATTTTAATAGTTTCCATTTCATTTAAAACGGTGTGCCATGAGCTGCGATGTGCTTATCAAAAGTTGGTAGTCGTGATTTTTCTCGACTACGTACGAGTTGAAATCAATTCATGCTGTCCATTATTTGTAAAAGTTCGAATCCTTCTTGCTTCATTAGTTTCATTTTCAACAAGAAAAAATGGATAAAAGATTCTTCTCAGTTCTCTATTTTGTAAGAAATGTAAGAAGAAAATGTTAAATAATGCGTCTGATTCTGGTCATTCTGACAAAATAGCACCAGTATATGAGAGGCTGCGCAACTTATATTAGAATGATTACCAACCAAAAGATAGAGGTATTAATTACAGTATGTACAACATTTCAGTGTAAAGAGCGGGTAGCAAACTGGCAGTGATGTCTTTCAGTATAAGTACGATGCTGGTTGCATCCTACCCCGTGCACACTTGTAGTGCAATACCTCTGGGTCTAAAAATTGATACTGTACTCGTCTTGGAGAAGCTGGCTTCCAATGGCATATAAAGATGGCACCTGCCCTTGATTGCGATCTGGGACGCTCTAGCACGACAATCTTAGGATTTCACGGAAGATAAATTCAACCAGCACTTAATGATGTTCTTAAAAAAATCAAAAATCCTAAAGCAGCAGCCGAACGCGGAATTCTAAAGAGTTTTGCTGGTGAAGGATATGAAGACGTAGATGGATGGAGTGCATGAAGTGCTGAGATTCGTAGAACATGTGATATCGGGTAGTGTGAAAAAGCGAAGCATTGATGAACGTCTTCAAGGTACTGCATGATGTCAAGGAACCTCAGAGAGATGCAGTTATTATCGTGTGCCTTCATGAACTCACCAAAGCCGTGAGCGTGGACTAATCCTTGTGTTAATTTGAGTTTTCCGGCTGATGAACAAACGAGTGTTGTATTCTTCATCTACGATTTTACTTTTGTTTAACGACTTCGAAAAGCTAAAATGCTTGTTTGACCAGGAAGAGGGGTACGATCGCGCGTGGATAGTATTCAGGAACGGCTCTGCGCAGCAAGACCCTGTCCCATTAAGGCCATCATTAGCTTCGTGAACTGATAATTATCGAATTCGATCACCACTGCGAGCAATCAGCAGCAGTTTAGCGATTGACAAATTGGGCGATTATTAAGAGGATAAGGGAAAACAGGATTCGTAGGAACTAGCGCATCATCAACCAATTGTCCCCTACTTGAAAAAATTTATTATTGCTTGCTAAGCCGTTGTAATTTATCAATTAAGTGAATGCACGAATAATAAAAAGCGCTAGGATCCGACGACGAGAGGATCAAAAAAGTATAAATTGTCGTGAAAAACAGAACGATAAGGAAACTTAAGAAACCGGATGCGAATTTTTCTGCTTTGTCATCTTCACGTCTCTATTACACTTTTCCTCTGTAACTAAATGAATATCCAAAGAATAATGGAGTCTAGTCGTGACTAGGAGGTGGTCTTGGGTGCCGGGCTGCGGTGTACAGCGGGGATTCATCTCCCTGGCAGGGTCTCTTAAGCTGAGAAGAAGTCCGACGTTTCCATCAGGAAGCCTAGTTAAGAGGAAACCAATACCAGGATCCACCACCGTCCTGTTATCAAAGTCGCATGGTGGCAAATCTCCCTCTGATACACAAAGGCAACAACTGCCTGTGCTGGTGAAGGCCTGGCTGACCTCGGGCTTCCAGAGAACCACAATGGCTTATCCAGCAAGCTTCCGAAAAATGGAGATTGTGTTGGCGCCCGCACAACTAATGAGGACGGGCCATACAAGTATGAACTATCAAGCAAATAAATGAATCTCCAGAGGATAATGGAATTTAATCGTGACTGGCTTAATGTACTGGTGGACTTTACTTCATGTGAAGAAGCTACTGCAATAAAATACTTGTCATGAAAATAAGTTTTATTCGAAAGCAACAATAATTTCAGTGGTAAACGAGTGTTCCGATGCCCGTCTGAACAACTGCTCTCCGAACGCGAAGTGCATTGACAAGGCGGTCGGCTACACGTGCCGTTGCAGTGCGGGATTTGTTGACCAACCCTCAGGCGACCGGCGTGGTCGTGGACGAGTTTGCACGAAACGTACGTTTACACGAATAACGTATCGAACAAAACCCTCGATTTTGTACGTTAACCCGGGATTGCTGCTCATTTGCTATCATGAAGATCAGGTTTGGGAAGTATGCAAGAGAAAAATCGGACTCGCCATAGAGATATGAATGCGTCTTAACTGATTTATCACCTGACATCAATAGTAGATTTTGAAAGCTTTGTCCAAAAATATGTGCTATATGGGTTTCACAACAAATATCTGGTGAGAGAGTTGAATCACATTTCCCATTTAGCAATAAGTATTGTTACACAGCATACAGTAGCAGGTCGACGTGGACAAGATAGCGATAGTGTTTTTAGGTTATCATAGACTTTTTTTAGGGGGCGTGTGGAGCAATGGTTGGAGGACCCTGCAAAACGCATGTGGAATCGGTCCCCGCGCCCATGGCCCATCAAGCCTACCATCCCCCCGGGGTCGCAAATTGGTACGAGGTTTGTCGGGGAGGGTAGCAACACTGGCTCGATACATCGGTAGGCCACCGTGAGTCGTTGTAAAGGCCAGAAATACATTCAATCACCTCCAACGATACTTAGTGAAGTCGAGTACATGGCGCATCGCTCAAAGACTGATCAACACTGAAAGCATTATGAGAATTTTTACGCTTCATCGGGAGGCTCCCACGTCCAGCTTTTAGGGCGGAGCTTCTGGAATTGCGAGTTATCATGGATGGTCTTGGTCGTAGTGATAAACTTAGACAGCCTCTCACCTTACTTGTTCCCACCAAGCCTTCCATCTTTCCGGGTTGCTACTAGACTTGTCTGGGAGGATAGCAGCACCGGCTTGATACATCGGTAGGCCACTGCGAGTTATTGTAAGGGCCAGATATGCATTCAATCAGCTCCAAACGATGTTTAATGAAGTCGAATGCATGGCGCATCCCGATCAACACCGAGAGCTTTATCCTTTGTTCTTTTTATAGACTTCTCTTAAGCAGTCACCAGTGGCCAACACGAGTTGCTTATTCAGGAAGAAACTGGGTAGTTCTTCGATCCTTTTTGTTTTCCAAATTGACGACAAATATGGCCGTTACTTATAGTAGGAGACCACGGATCAAAAGCAGACATCTCTTGAAAGAGTTCGTCCAAGTGGATAAATCGATCGCGCTATTGCATGTGTTGGAACGAATTTGAAAATATCGATAAAATCTCTGTTGTAGTGGGGGATGGATGTTTGAGTTGGTGCTTTTGAAGTTTGTGAGTTCAAGTGTGATAGCCATGCATTGAGTGAATGAGGTCGAGCTGATTCAGTGGTGGACGAATGTTCATCGATGGTGCACGACTGCGACCCGTACGCACTGTGTCGCGACGAGGCGATCGGCTTCTCGTGCCATTGCCCGTTCGGCTTCTCCGACGCTTCACCTGATCCCACCAAGCCTGGCCGAATCTGCGTGAAGAGTGAGTTCGTAATCTTTGAAATCACACATTCAGAGGTCCAATATTTTATAAGAAAGTCGAAAAAGGACTGAAAACAAATGTTCGAAATAAGCGTGGGTAGGTAACTTTCTGTTTGCTTTTTTTTGGAGTACTGCACCGGGAAGTACTTCTTAACTTCTAGAAAATATTACACTGGTACAAACACTTTCAGACTTTGTTTAAATATTCTGTGGGCTTTTCAACTAGGTCGACACTGAAATGTTTGCTTGCCGTAGCGATCTACGAGAGGTAGAAATCCGTTACCCGGACCGAGTTGCATATCACAAATTTATCACTTGGAAATCTGTGTCAGTGATGTGTAAATGGTATCGGATCCGATCAAGAGAGCAAGGTTACACGCCATTAGATTCTTTCGGGACAGTCAGAAACCGCGAAGTAGTCTGTGTACCGGCTGGTTGTGTACCCCATTCGTTCCGCGCAATTCGTGAGCTTGACCTCGACATGAGAATTCATCATCAGTCATACTCGGACACCTCATCCGGGTTCACGCGATCTCTCTAAAGTTTTTTGTAGTCATTTTGTCTACCAGTTTTGTGACTTACAACAGATGGGCCGAACTTGTTCTCTTCAAAGAGACCGACATGATGCGGTTCTACAGAGGGCGAATAGCTGGTTGCTAGAACTCGAGGCGTCTACCAAGTTTTTATTTTGCTTTTTAAATTTTAAGGGACCCACCTTCACATTTAGTCCACCTTCACATTCGATTCGTTTCCTCGCATCCATAATCCACGAAAGTAATCGAACTTTTGACGTGTAGATTCACCTTCTGCTTGAGGATTGCCATCCTTATGCACGTCACTTTTCGAGTGGGTTCTCCTTGGAGTCCTGGAATAGCCGGAGTAGAGCGTTCTTAATTGTATTACAAAGACTGAACTGTACGCGGACAAGTCCGGCACTAATTTTATGAGCCCAGGTGTGAGAAACCTAGGGAACCCAGTTAGAGCTCGAACCAGTATTGTGTTCGGGATGACGGCATCACCATCGCTGTGCTGCCTGCCCCCTCGTCTACTAAATTAGCCTTAACAACATGAAAACGTGTAATGGTTATATAAATAGAGATATTTTAAATAGACTTCTTTTGTCTTTCTTTCTCAGTAAGCGGTTCTTGTCACCAAAAAAAATTTTATAATCATATGGCTACTCTTGAATCCTAAGCCCAACTATGAAAGAAAGATTTTTCAACACTTGCAGTCAGGTTCAAGTTCTTCAGCACCCTTACTTGGATACTTGGATAGTCCGTCTTCACTGGTAGCGCCAACCCTAGCATAATTTCCATTCGTTTGGCTCTCGTTCAATGGTCGTTTTCGCTGCTGGCCTGCTTCGAACGTGATCACATCCTCGAGGGATTGAAAATGAGCTTTCAAATTTCGCATTTCCTTTTTAAACTCGAAATACCAGTTTTGACAAAAAACGACAGAAACAATGTTGTTAGTTCATTTAAGTTGCTAACCATTTCAACTCTTGTCAACACGCTATTTCAACTAGTGACGATTACCATGAGTTGCGAAATGTTGGTTTTGGAACTGGCCACTGCTTTCATACCGTACGAGAATAAATCGATTTACTTCGGTATTGAAATTCCATAGAAAGGTATTTGCTGAAAACCTAGCGTTATAAGGGCGTTCTGATTTGTCAAATCAGTGTAAATTTGAGGAACTATTATAGTTGGACTGTTCTCGGATTTTTGAATTTAGTGCGTTCATGCGCTAGAGAGTCTTTTCCGGGTTTTCGCCGGCCGCAAGAAGATATGAGTTCAAGCTCAATGATTTTTTTACCGAACACTGAAATGGTATAAAGCTAATTAATTAGTTCTAAATCTTTTGATTAGGCAGAATTTTCCGCTACAGAAAGTGAGACGGAAGGCGGATAGATCCGTATTTTATGTTCTGTATTCGACGCATGGAATAATCTAATTGTCTAAAACTGTTCTATTTTGATTAGACATGTAGAAAAACAGCCGGGGAACCAGCCTAACGTCATTTCAATCGGAGTTCTTTGCAAAAGGTCCTGAAGAGTTTGGAGGCATTTAGTTAGCATCGTCCTCTCATTTTTAGTTCTTTCCCCTTCATAGGAAAGTGAAGAAATTCATTTGTGGATGTTTACAGTGGTAGAGTATACAAAAAGGATAAAGCTCTCAGTGTTGATCAATCCCTAAGAGATGCGCCATACACTTCATTAGGCATCGCTTGGAGGGGACTGAGTGCATATCTGGCCTTTACAATGGCTCACGGTGGCCTACCGATGTATCGAGCCAGTGCTGCTATCCTCTCAGTCAACTCTGGTGCCAGTTTGCCGATCTTGGAGGGATAGAACGCTTTGTGAGCCATGGGCGCGGGGATCGATTCGGCGCGTGTGTTGCAAGACGCCTCCGACCACTGCTTCATACGCGTAGCATAGTAGTAATAGAGTATGATAGCGAACCTTGATTGATGGAATCAGCGCGGCTCTTAGAAGTAATCGTTGTTTGTTGACCTAAAATAAGCTTGAAAACGAATTGAGTTTGTGTGCAACTACGAAACGGTGTCTAAACTTATGTGGAGGGCTCCATTGCCATCGTGACCTGAAGGTTCATTGCGTAACTAATTTTTTGTATCGAACATCGTTGCATCGTAGATCTTTCGCTTTCGATAAGAAATCACCGTTGGTTTATTGATGCCCACAACTATTTTCTGACGTCGTTTATCTATTATATCTATCAAAAACTGAAATCTACAGGATTCCCTATGTAGCCCTATTATTTCCGGATCATGCGAGCCCAACCTAACTGGTTCCACACCCGTCACATTATTCTTCCGCTGTCTTATCGTTTTTCATAATCTCTCTATACGTGCCAAAAGTGGTATCGTACCTCGATTTAGGTCAATGTCCACTAGCTGCTTTCTGCGAAAACTTTGGATTATATATTAGCATAGCTGACTCCATCGCATTGTAGCATTCGGAGAGAAGATCCTATTCGCGTGGAGTGTCCCCAGTTTTCAACTTTTTCATCAAAACTCTCAAAACTACGCTTTAGCAGTGCTGCACTTCTCAAGATGTCGACTATTTTTGGTTTAAGCTTATGGATGAACACCCCACTTGTTCATCTGTAACTGACCTATCGTATTCGAAGACGGCTGCATATAGCTTGTGTCGATTTTGCATGTAGTTGAAAAGGCACTGAGATACATTTTCTTGGACTATTAAGCTAACACAGTTCGATCGCGCGCCTAGGGTTCAGCAAGTCTACTATTTCTCCGAAATCTGCAAATTGGTAACAGACTTATCTTTGAGGATGGATGGCACCACTAACTCGATAAATCGCTAGACACCGCAAGTTATTGTACAGAGCTGGTACGCATTCGGCACCTCTAACGATTCTTAGTGAAGTCGAGTGCATGGCTCATCCCTCAGGGATTGATCAACGCCGAACACTTTATCCTTTATTCTTTTATGATAGTCAAAATGTCTTGTGCTGGGCTGTATTGTTTCCTGTGCAATATGCTGTGCATCAAGAGAGTGTTTCCGCTTCCTATTTTATGATACCCTCAGTTTCAACATGACTATGGGACGAGTGCCAATTAACGGACTGGTCGTACATGAGTGCGCAGGCATGTATCGTAGTTCGAACGGCTTGTCAGATAGGTGCACATCGCGTGCTAGGCAAGACGGCTGTCCTGTTGAGCGCGGTAACTTGCTCGACCCAGTTTGAGAAATGGCGTTAAGCGCAATCGCCTTCCCAAGGGCGACTGGCTCAATAGTGACTCCTATGAATCAAGGTCGCCGTTTACATGTTTGAACATGAAATAGACTCATAAAAAAATAACACTATTAAAAACTTTGGGCTATAAAGAATTTTTCATAAAACTTCTGAATGAGCAAATAGGAGTCGACATCGAGAGCTGACATGCTATCGGAAACCATCCAAGATCCAAAACTCAAACTTAAGTGTTCCAGTGAATATAAGCTGTAATGGATGCAATTCTTCGACGTCTCATTGTGTGGAAACCTCTAGTGGAAACGTCATCTGCGCATGTTTGCCGGGATTTGAGGACCTCGCTCCAATAAATCCTGGACAGAACTGCTCCAAACAACATCGTGAGTCTTTTTCAAGCATTTCATGTGTGAGAGATTGTTCTCTAGAAGATGTGGTCTAAAAATCGCCACATCTACACTGTGACTCCAGCGTATGTCGGCAGTGAATTAGTTGTGCATAAAGCCAGAGTTTTTCCTTTGAGACCGCTCTCATCAGCTTTTTTAAATTCTAGACAGTCTTATTAATATAAATTACACATATAGCAATCATTCGGACTCCCGCTTTATGTCTACTCTGTCTCAGTTTTCCCAACTTGCAATGACGCTGATTAGTTCCAGTTTTCGCATTTCCCGCATTGACCTCGGGCCATCCATAACGTTGCACAGTGGTGTAAATTAGGTGAACAAACAACTTAGAATTGTCTGGAGATTGTAACGACTCAACGCGGTCGAGAGTGAGAAGAGATCGCGGGTGGGCTGTCGGGTGATGGGAACATCTTCCTACGACTAGCTCCGCCCACGCTCATTCCACCAACAGTCGCGACGAGTTGTCTCTTCTGGATTTCGCATGAACTGCCTTTACATAGGGGCCATCAAGGCCTCCATTTTGGGTTTAGTCCTCAGCTTAGGTAAGTCAATGATTGCGTTTAGATTACTTCACGATAACCTGTCATTCTTGTGAGAAGAATATCGGTGTGTTTTTTGTATTGTTAGTGGATCTCACTTATTTAGCTTCTTAGTCGCTTTGCTAGCCTTGATTCTTGTTCCATGCTTTGTTAATATGATTTTAATTTTCAAGTAATATTGGTTTGCCGCTTTTTAGTTCTTTTTTAGTTCTTTATTAGTTTCTTAGAACTGGTTCAATTTTTATGACGATAGTGATATTGGGGACATGGACGAAGGGTTAATGAATCTACTTACACCAACCTTTGTGGGAATGCAATGCTAAGGCGGATGAAAGAACCATCGCAGGCTTGGCAACCCGGAACCCTATTTGCCTTTATTTCAATGTCATTTCATTAGATAAACGACATCTGTGAACGACCGCATATACGAGCACTTCACCTGCTGATAAGGCAGAAAGCAGAGCTCTGAGGTGAAGGCACTACGAGAACTTTTCTTTAAAATGGTAGTCTTAAGATACTTTTTGTTGCAAGGTTGATCAGTAGCCAAGCAATGCTCTAGAATCCAATTAGTTTTTGCCGAGCTTTTCCATTATTTCTTAGCTGGGATTTCAGACCGATATCATAACAGCTGCTTTAGTTTTTGCAAAAAATTTTACCAGCTTCTCTCAGTTTGCATCCTTCTACTAAATTCCTTCATTGGGATGTCTGTTCTAAAGGTAAGAAACCAAAGAGTTCGTAATCAATTCAGGATCAAATCCCTGCCAAGACTACTCGCTCCATGACTGCGATGCGGTGGCCGAGTGCTATTCAGAACAACCTGGATACTTTCAGTGTCGATGTCCAAAGGGATTCATCGACACCTCACCAGATACACGAAATCCGGGACGAAAATGCACTAGAGGTTCCTTATTTTACACTATCATATTCCATCTATGGAATTATGAGTTACTTCCTTCATGCAATCGATTTCTTGGACCTCTACTTTCTCCATTTCTTTTTTGCCAATGAGTAAACTAAGCTTCCAGGATCGACTTTCTATTAACCTCGGCACTGGAATATGAATGCGTCGTTTTCTTGTTCAGCAATCGCGAGGTTGTTAAACAGCATACATTTACTTCCATAGAAAAACACAATACAATACAACAGTAGCTGACGTTTTGGCACTATCGTCTTCTTCAGCGCCGCTTTTTACGTGACTTCCAATGAGGAAGATTAGAACAGCTATAGTCGCATCTAAAAAAAGTAGACTAAACCTCAATCAAATAACGTTCTGAACAGAAACTTTACTTAAGGTTTCATACTTTCACAGGTTCATCCTGAAGAAACAACTTCAGTTCCAAAGTTTCTTGAATCCAAAGCAATGAAGATACATCTACAGTTTTATGCATTATACTCTGACTGTTCCTACTCTACTCTTTTGTTTTCCCTATATTCTAGTTCACATAGCGATGCTAAAACTTGAGTTTCATTCATTTTTTGGCAGTTTACCGCTTCAGTCGTCTTTTCCTCAACAGTCATGCCTAAATATTCGCAAAACTTGGACCCCGGGCCAGATCGAACTACGATATCCCTTTCCGGGGCCCGAGGTGCAAGTTTTGCGAATATCTCAGCGTCGTTGTGGTTGAATCTCACATCATATCCTGCCGCGCAAACTATAGTGGGCTGCAAATAAAAAGCTATCATCGTCTTTTCTTCCTTTTATTCCTTTATAAATGAGTTCATCAAAGTCATTTAATTACGAAGCCTATAAATTGGGTCAAAACTGTGCGTGATCGGTTTTATTGACGTTTCAAAATCCTATTGACGAATCAATCCTCGGTGGCTGAATTCGTTCTCGTGTATAGGAACTTCTAACTAAAAAGGTTCTAAATCCACTCGTTGTTGTGACCTTGTGTGTCGTCCTTTTTTTGAGTTTTTATAGAAATCCTGATGAAGATGGCAACTCAGATATTCAGGGTTTTCACTCACTCTGGCTGAGCTCTATCGAACTAGTTTATCAAAGAATATGGATGTCCCGGCCTTCTTTCACCTCAGTTTTCATCGATTTCTTTCGTTTTAACTAATTCCACACTCCGCTTATACCGGATCATTGTGGTTTTGTTCGAACTCGTCGTGAACCTTCGAGAGAAAGCGATTCGATGTTATCTGATTGAGATTGCTGGCCGGAATGAGTTCCGGTACGGATTGTAAGAAATCCGAACAGAGTCCATTTATCACTATTTTGTGCCCAAGTAACTTTCGTACTACAAATATACTAACGTAAATAGTTTTAAAAGAAAGTGAACAAGCCTTGAATCATACGAAAGATCGTTCTTTGCAAAATAGTGGTAAAAAACTCCCGAGTGGATAAGTATTCAAAATAGGCCACATGATCACGAGATAAGTTAATATCCGATCAGTGAATTGCGGAGCGAAGAAGGTCATTTTCGAGTCCGATGTTCCACACGGAGTTCATCACTTTTCGCCTGACACTCTCGATTCTTTGAGTAAAGCGTTGACGCCGAAATTCCTTCCCAATAGTGGCCTACCTCTGACTGTTGGTGTGTCGCTCCAATAACTCTTACTGAAGACTGGTTAACTCCCGATTATCTATCAGTACGATTCTTCTAGATATACATTTCGTTAAATTTGAGATTCAAACCACTGCTCCTATCTTCTAGTACTGTCAAGTGTCTAGTACTGTCACTGTAAAGCCAGAGAATGTTCCTTCATCTGGATAGAATCCAATTTTTCTGAGATGTCCTCGCAATCCTATCGATTTCTGAATGCTGCCGCCAAATGTCTCATTATACGTATTGTCGTGGTGCCCGAACCGGTCATTTCACTTGCCTTTAGTGAGGGTCATCCCGCCCCTTTGAGATGGAGAAACACACTTGCGCCTGAGTTCTGGAAATCCATGGAAAGTGAATTGACCGAGTTTCCATATATTGGCCGTGGCGAACGCCACGCCATGAGCAATTATGAGGTCACACTACCATCGACTAACAACAGTGGTCCCGTAGGGAAACTTCTAGAAGTGTCTTTTGTATAGGAAGTGGTTCATTGCTAGCTATCAGCTTACCAAATTAGTCTACAGCTTCTTGGAGCGGGTTTAACCCACTAGTTGGGAATTTGAACGCGAAATTTTACAGCTTTTTGAGTTTCTACGATATTTCTTGCGATTATTTTCTTCTTTCTTTTCTTTTCTTTCTTTCTTTGTCTTTTTTTTTCTTTGTTTAAAAGATTTTTGTTAGATCAACACTTCCGAACAAAATTTAAAAGCCAGCATTTTTCCTCGAAAGATTATGTCCCTTTGATTTTCTATAGTCATAGAGTAGATGGAAGAACGAAAAGTGGAGGAAGGAAAAGACAAAGTTTCACGCAAACGTGCGAAATGAGGCGTTCAATTCCTATCACGGTCCAATGACACGGAGTTCTTAAAGCATCTACTACTTCATTGAAAGAGTACTACTCTCGCCAGGGCGACACCTTCGTCAACAGCGTTTTTGGTAAAGTAAAATCTAGAAAGTAGCGAATTGTGGCCAATTAGAGATGTGGGGCATGAGCAAGACACTGAAGCGGAAACGGCTGCATCCACGTATACTGTCGTTTTCTCACGCACGCCGGTTCAACGGTGAATTGAAGTTTTGTCCGAGAGTCCGTCCCACAAGCCACGATGAAATGGTGACCCATTCGATGACTTTGGTGTCTTCAGCAAAAAATGAACTCGTGCATTTCGTTTTGAACTCGTGTTGTTTTCTTTGCCTTTTGCAGTAACGGCGAATAGTCTCCAACTTTGAGCCTTTCTTTCCTCACATCGCGTTGGCCAATTTCTCACAACCACTTAGAAGACCTTCATTCTGACAGAACACTTTCGATGTTGTCAATCTTTAGTTTTAGAAAGAAACCACCGAGTCTTCATATCATGACACTGTACGATCGAGAACACAAAAGTCCGTCGTCGTTTATAATAAGTGCCGCGTGGCTAGATGACCTTGGATTGAAGCAAAACTTCGGTTTCTTCCGAATTTTTTCGCTGCTGTTATCATCCATTAATTGATTTCGGTTATCGTTATAGATTTTTCTCAAAATTTAGAATGGTTATAAATTTTTAAGAACTTATTTACTGTTTAAGCTTTCCATGAATCAAAGACGCGAAATAAGCGGTCGCTTCATTTCTAATGACCGCCACCTTTAAGAACACCTCCCATTCTGAATTGCACATGTCAATCTGAACTGGTACTGATTGCGGTTCTTTCGTCATCTTCGCTTGTCGGCATTGGCGGCGACCTCAGAAACTGTCAGTTCACCTTGAGATTTAGCAACACAAATAAAGCGGGATGGCGCTGCATGGGTTCCTCCTATTGGTCGTCTCCAGCTGTCACTAGACAGAACTCTAATAAGGGAAATCGTCCATGCACGAGGTTCCTTCGGTCAACAGAAAGACGCTGCTAACCGGAAAATACAATTGCTTTGTTGATTTCGTTGCGGTTACGGTGCGCGTGTTGATAAAGTGCAGCTGTGCAATGCGTTGGAATTGCTGGGCGGAATAATTTGAGCAGGAAAATGGGAAAAAGCCCCGCACATTCTGACGAAGTTTCCAACAAGTAGTTTTGGTACAGGACTTCAATCGTGCCCAATAAGCGCTTAAGGATTTCCAATAAAACCGAGAATCATTGTATGCAGTCATTTGTATGATTATTCTTTTAGTAATTACAAGCTGTTTCAGTAGTGGACGAATGTTCATTGGGAACTCACACCTGTGATCCGAATGCTGACTGTGTCGACACACCGGAAGGATATACGTGTCGGTGCAGGAGTGGATGGAAGGATTCCAGTCGGGACCCGCTCAGAAATCCGGGGAGGGTGTGCAGAAAAGGTAAATGACTGCCCAGTTCTGTTTTTCATCCATATTTCACCATATTGTGAGTGAAATAATCCACTACTCATTGGTAATAAGATGGCGAAGTGAGAACTAGGCAGGAAGATCAGCATGAAAAATACCAAAAAATAAGTTCCTAAAGATTTTTGAAGTTTCTTTTATTGTTTAAACATATCCAGTGTATTCGCTCCCCCAGATTTTCAAGTCGCAGTCTTGGATATTCTTGGTGCTATTTTCTCACCGTACACTGAATTCCAATGTATTTCTAATCGTTCCAAACTAGTGATAAAATGATTCGTTTGTCGAAGGAAAGCTTTATAAGTTTACCGAGCTTAGGAAACTGTTTCGCTGAGAGGGTTAAAAGCCAAAGGCTTGATGTTCTTCGCGCTCGTCCAGGATTCAGAACTCGCTAGGCAGCTTAAATGCGCGACGGAGAAAAAGGACAATACGGGTGCTGATGATGAAATTTTTGGAAAGGAAACCCTTTCATTAGAAATCGGTCTATTCATTCATTTAGGCATTTCAGCGGATTCTGAGCTAGGAAGCGTACAGTTGTACCAACGCTTTTATATTTGAATGGAAAGCCAACTACCCCAAACGTTACTGAAGTATCGTATCGCCTTTACAGCTCTGTTTCTTTGCTCGTTTCTTTTTATTCAGCATCGATTCTAAGTCACCTTCAATGTCTTTTTTTCCACCAAACTCGGTTGACGCGGTGCTTTTAAAAAGCTGACGTTTTGTACGTAACCATCAACTGAGATCTTCACGTCGCTCGAGATACCAAGGTATGGGACCGGTTCCTCAATCTACGTGATAGGTTTTCGCGAATCGACGTTTTCTCAAGGCTTTTTACGTCGTGTTGTTGTTCGTCTTATCCGTACTGTACTAGATGAAAAACCAGCATTAGCGAAGTAGTGTGCCTTGCCTGAAATATGAGCGATCTTAGGTGGTAACAGCTCTTGAGCTTGAGAGTTAAGTAGGAACAGAGAGACTCACATGGGGAACGAAGCGAGGAAGGTGCTATAAGAAGGCCATTAAGAATATTATGGGTCGAAGATGCAGTGAAGGTTAATGAGATTTCCGAATGAGATTTCGGCTGCGGTTTCCACATTATCAAAGGCCTTAAAAGAAATGTACTCTATGCAGAGAAAGGTCTGCCTAAAGGTAAATTTCTAGAGCAATCAAATATTTCCGAACACATGTTTATTTATGCGTTGTTGTAATCCTTTCTGAAAGCGTCGTGTCTCATTTGATCGAATTCGCCGAGACCAGCCAACTGAGACTTCATTCGGAAGAAAATTTTTGATAGTCGGTTGCCAAAGGTTCTGGAGCATTAATTGAGCCAGGTAACAGAGTGGTTGGAGGCGCCACTGCGGCACACACGTGGAGTCGATCTCCGCGCTTATGACCCATCAAGCCTTCCATCCCTCCGGGATCGGCAAATTGGTACGAGACTTGTCTGGAAGAATCATCAGTAGACCACCGCGATTCATTGTAAAGTCCAGATATACATTCAATCACCTCCAAACGATACTTAATATAGTCCAATGCATGGCGCATCCCTCAGGAATTGATCAACGCCGAGAGCTTTATCCCTTATCCTCTAACAGAGGCAGCGATTGAGATGTACATCATTTTATTTCTCTGTTAACATTTACAATTTACTGGCATAGGAAGGTTTAGAATTCAAATCCACGGGATTTTTCACATAAGCAAGAGCTCCAATTTTTGTAAATTCCCCAATTTTTTCTGTTGAAGACGAAATTTGGCGAAACTTCCGCCCTTGTAAGATGAGCATATCTATCAATACTGTCCTCTTCAGTCGATCGACAGAACTGAAATGCGTGGTGACTCATCTAGGATTCCATTAAGATGCTCCGTCGATGCGCAAGGTCGTCGGTGAGTGCAGGCGCTGTTTCTGGAACAATAAATGAAATAACCGCACGACATCTCGGTCGATTCAATCGGATGTTGTTGAACGGCTACGGCTGTTATTTTACGCGATCGTTGCACTGAAAAGCAATGAATGAACAACCGGATCCAGGAAAAAGAGGGAAGGGAACGAATGCCGCCGTGCGTGCTTGTTATAAGACATTCCGCACAGAGTTGTACTACAGTTTCGTTTTCTGAAGACTATCCGCTAGCAGTATAGAGACCGCCATCTACTTCAAATCACTCATGGCTCTTTTCTATGTAAAAACAACCAAGGAATCCAGTAAACCATTCCAGAATGTTAGCAGTCATCTCCACGTGCGAATTTCTCTCCCTATGTGCTTCCGTAGGAAAAGTGTTGCGGACTGCTCCCTGCTCGAGCCCATTTGTGTCGAATATCCAACTGGCAGCATTTCTCATTTCTTGCATGTGCCGAATTGAGTGTTCAGTTTTTGTAACATAAGCGTTTTTTAATGGAAGGGGGTTTTATTTCGTTGTGCTGAAACTCTTCTTGATTTGATTTTAGTTTGGAGCGTCTCTTTCAAAGTTAATTTTTTAGTGTATAGTCATTGTTCAGAGGCAATATAAATATTGTTTGGCGAAACAAAGCACCCGCATACTGTGGTGGTGAACGCGTTACTCCCCGGAAAGGACAATAGCGCGTTCGTTCCCCATCGCAGATACCTGCGGCCCGGAGTTTTGCAAATATCTCAGCAATCTTGTGGTTGTATTTCGCTTAATACCCTGCCATAAAAATAATAGAAGCCAGGAAATAAAAAAGTAAACATTGTTTTTAGTATTCAATTATATTATGTGCTGTGCTGTGCCAATTATTGTATTATGTGCTATGGGTCGGATAGCGGATAGCACAGTGGTGCTAACGTCTGTCATCACGAGCCTGGTGCTAATTCGATTCCACTCCGGGCCAACCAAGCCTGTCATCCTTCCGGAGTCGAGAAATTGGTACCAGAGTTCTCTGGGAAAAAAAATCGCTGTCTGCAATCCAATGGGAAACGCTCCAGCCCGGCTATCTCAGGACTCCAGCGGAATTGCTCGACTAGCATTCTACGACATTCAAGATGAAATGAAAATCCTCATGCAGCAACCGAAACCACACGCAAAAACTTGGGAGACCTTCGCGAACAATGGATGCGAGAAAACGAATTGGTGTGAGAAGTGCTGGGTTCCGCACTATAGACGTGAAGACGGATCAAATAAGATGAAATAAATGAAATAAATAATGAAATATGTGCTAAAATATTTTCTACTTAAACTGCGTAATTCTTTTCCTCCCTATCTATACATTTTTATTTTTTTACCCAAGACATGAACGCCGCCTTTCAATTAAGGTAGTCACTAAAGACCAGCGCTCGTTCGCATCCTCTGAAGAAATAAGCAGGCTGTGCCAGAAATCAAACGCCGGCTTTTCCTCATAGGCGGCGAGAATTCCTGTTCTACACATCGAATTTTCCACAAAGACACCAAATCGGGAAGACGAAGGCGGTGGACCATGTACTCGGATCATCAGCTCTGAGGAAGATGATGTCGAAACGCTGGCCGAATGAATGTTTGCTCGCAACATCGCGTTAGCTTATTAATGAAATAGGGTACACTGATTGTTTATACCGAGGTTAAATTAAAGTCGGTTTGCAGTGCTAGTCTACACAGTTAGTCGTTAATTGCCCTCAAGTTTGAATTTGGTTTTGTTAGATGAGAAAGTCCCATTCGTTTTCCCTTATTCAATCTGCGGTTGTGCTTTTTCTATCTAGGAGTTCCGTCAGCGGCTTTACGTTGGTATTATCTCTCTCAAAGAAGAAAATTGCTCCGTGTATTAGACTTCAGTTCTATGGATTTTACAATGCCATTGCGTTTATGGGAAAAAATTGTCTCGCATATTAACGGACCTGGTTTTGTTCGTGATAAAAATGCCTACCTTTAATTGTCGCTTTTGGCGACTTCTTCAAACGAAGCCTTTCCATTGATTTGTCTCAAAATTGAATCTTTAAAAAATGGCTCCCAGGATCGACTTTCTATCAACCTTGGCATTGGACTATAAATATCTCGTTTTCTTTTTTAGCAATCGCAAGGTTGTTATTCAGCACACGTTTACTTCCTTATGAAAAAACACACAACACAACGGTAGCTGACGTTTCGGCAGTATCGCCATTTTCAGAGCCTGGAAGGGTACACTGATACGCAGTTTGCTAGGTCAAACCCTTCAACAGCACAAACAGAAGGATGAAAACCTGAACGATAATTACAACATCAGCAGCTTCTCGAAAATTCACCGTTTTCTTTAGCGGAAAAGGATGCCCAGAGATCGGACGTGCTCTAGCCCCCGCATCTCAGAGTTATATTTTCGATGTGTGTTGGTGCAGTCATCAACACCAAGTGTGATCTCTGTATATATATATATATGCGACTCTAAGTGGCTGTTCTTCTCCGGTGGAAGGCAGGTGGAAAATAGTGGATTTCTAGAGAAGCTGCTGATCGTGTAATTACCGTCGTTCAAATTTTCATTTTTCTGTTAGTGCTGTTGAAGGGTTTGACCTAGCAAACTGCGTGTCAATCTGCCCTTGCAGGCTTTGAACAAGGCAGTACTGCCAAAACGTCAGCTACCATTGTGTTGTGTGTGTTCTTTTCGTAAGGAAGCAAACGCGTGCTGAATCGTTGAAAAAGAAAACGAGATATCTAAAAAAAAGTTTCTTAGCGATCGGTTAATATGCAAGTCATCCCTAGGGTACATTTCGTTAAGCGAATAATGAAGTCTTCTTGCCGATTGTTAAAGAAAAACGTATAATTATGAAGTAGTTGTGAGCGCTTTCAGCGGACGTCTGCATGAACATGGACTGTGCAGCCGAGGCGGAATGCCGCGAGACTCCGGTCGGACCAATGTGCCAGTGCGTGAGCGGATTCGTGGATGTGAGCCGCCACCACGGACGACCACCGGGCAGGGTCTGCCGACCAGTGCTGAACGAATGCGCTGAAAGTCAGTAGCTATTTTCAAACTTGTGCTCATGTCTCCTAGTGTGAACAGGAACGCTTTCCTAGCGACGCTATGGGCGTTCATCTGTTATTCCTATCTATTTTTTAGGAAAGCATGACTGCTCAAGCCATGCGTCGTGCATCGACACCATCGACGGATTCACATGCCGATGTCATGACAATTACCGTGACGAAAGCCCGTTCCCCTCGAAGAATCCAGGAAGAGTGTGCATTAGAGGTGATCGCGTAAAATTTAAGTGCATTGGAATAAGTGGACTGGTGTTGTGTTCTTGTGCTAATTCGTGAACACGCTCTTTTACATAATTTCATTTCTTCACCTATCTATTCAGTACACTAACTGCCGAGGCTTCTTGTACAGTGGAAAGGCGGTGAAAAGTTTGGTGCAAAAAGAGGTTAAGAATTTTTTCTATTTTACACGACCCGTTCTCACATCTACTGTGCGGATCCCAGCCCTTCTCCCATTTGATTCGTTTCCTCCTATCCATCGCCCACAGAGGTTTTCCAAGTTTTTCCGTGTGGCTTCGGTTGCTGCTTGAGGATTTCCATTTCATCTTCAATGTTGTAAAATGCCGGTCGAGTCGATTTTTACTGGAGTGCTGATATAAGTGCGTTAGAGCGTTCCCACTTGGATTGCAGAGAATGCAGTTTTCCCATACAAATCTGGGATAAATTTCTCGACTTCGCTGGGATGAGAGTCTAGGTGGGCTGGAGCGGGATTGAACCAACACCATGCTTGTGATGACCGGCATCACTGCCACTATTCTATCCGCTCCCCTTAAGCTTGCGCAAGCAAACTAGAGAGCACAACTTTTGTGACAACGTGAGTGTCAATGTTGAAGATGTCATCTCATAAAGGAGCGAAAATTAATTAAGAGTTTCTTAAGTAAGTTCTTCTTTTGCGCCTGTTGTTTTTGAGTCTAAGCGCAGGGTCAAAACACCCGAGCTCCAGATCTATGTCCGTAAATCACGACAAAACGACTGGCAAAGCAGCAACGTGTGAATGACTTGCGAAACAAGTGAAAACTTCAACACTAACAATTTCGAAGAGCGAATTGAAACTTGGCATAGAACAATCAGAGTGCCTGATGTAGCGCATCTTAAAGAGAAAACTATCATGGAAGCAATTCTTTTTTTCAAGCACTAATCGTAGCTATCTCTAGATTTTGCAGAGCTTGCAAGTTCCAACTTTCATGCCTTGCGCATAAATTTTAGCTTTTCAGCATTTGTGCCTGATCCTCCCGAATGTGATGTGAGTGATCCGATGAGCTGTGACCAGCGCAAATCCGAGGTCACAACATTTCGTCGATTCACCGTTATCAACCTACGTTGAGCATTTTTCTTTAGGTCTGCGTGTTCGTGAGCGGTACCTACAAATGTCGTTGTGCTTCCAGTTATTCGCGACTTCCTGACGGCCGTTGTCTAGCCATCAATGAATGCGAAGATAATCGCCTGAATACTTGTGGACAGAACGCCGAATGTATCGACCTAGTGAGTGTAGTGAGATTTCGTAGAGGTTACAAGAACAAGTCAGAGACCTGTGTTTGACAAAAGAAAGCAATGAGGCATTCAGACTTTCTCTGCCCCCCGTCCTATTTTTTCCACCACTTACTCAAGGTCACATTCCTCAATTTACGTTTATGACTTTACGACGTGTGCGTTTTGAAAGCTTGGATCCTTGTAACATTTTCGTTTTAAAGGTGCTGTAGTTAAGAATGATCAGTGAAACGCCAGGACTGAAATTTAAAATGGGATATTATAATGTTATTGATGATATTATGATTATGATGTTTTTGATGTTATTGAACGATGGCTGACGTTTCGGCGACTTCGCCTTCCTCAGTCCCGCACGTAACATCACGGCTCTGAGGAAGGCGAAGTCGCCGAAACGTCAGCCATCGTTCAATAACATCAAAAACAACGACAACGACAACGACAACGAAGATCTGTACCAACCTCGCGTCAGCTTAAGAAGATCAGTTTATAAGATCACATAAATAAATATATCAACTATCTATGCCGAGGTTCATAGAAAGTCGGTCTTTCGAGTTATTAAAATGGGATAATTCGGAGCTCTGTTTCCAGGCCGAGGGTTATACCTGCCAGTGTCGATCTGGATTCGCCGATGTCTCACCATCGGGGCAGCCAGGTCGCATCTGCAAACCTCGCATCAACGAATGCTCTAACAAGTATGACTTTCCACTTTCTCGGATAATAATTCAAAAAGATGTCGTTTGTTTTATCTGAGTTTTTTAAGGGAAAGGTATCATGTCGACTGCGATGAGAACGCTATTTGCATCGACACCGACGACTCATTCAACTGTCAGTGCCGACCAGGATTCGCCGATATTTCTGCTGCATTTAACCGACTGCCTGGTGTGTAGGTTATAGTACGGACTCTGGAAAAACAAGTTGCTCCACATCATTTTGTAGTAATCGAAAACATGAAGATTTCTTTAACTAGAAGAGCCTTTCCCATCATGCGTGATCGTCCGCTGGTTCGATTCCGCAACCCTTTCTTACCAAGTCTCCACCCCTTTGTGATCGGCAAGTTAGTACTCGATAGAAAGAGTACCTATAGTGGCTCGATATGCTATCAATTACCTTTGAAGGTTTTGCTGAAGCCGAATACGTAGCTTATTCTTCAGGGATTGGTTAACAGTCAACACTCTGTCCTTTATGTTTATTCTCTGATTTTGTCCTACACTGTCACGGACGATTAATGTCAGTGAATTCTTAGATTCGCTCATCCAAGAATTCTTAACCCTGAAAAGGCAGCAGTTGTTTTTCTTCAAGGTGTAACCATTCGAATAGTACTTTTTAACATAATGCATGCTTGATTTAGTTTTTCGAGCGGAATTGTTGTTGAATGCTTAAGGATGCGGTAGACCTGTAGAAGAGGCTTTGTGCTATCTCTGAAGGTATAAAGGGTTTTCCAAAGTGTTCCCTTGAATTGGGCGCGTGTGGCGCAGTGGTCGGAAGCACCGTGCAACACACACATGGAATCGATCCTCGTGCCCGTAGCCCACCAAGCTTTCCCTACCTTCGGAGTAGGCATCTTGCTACCAGACTTGTCTTCCAGAGACTTCTCTGGGACGATAGCAGCAGTGACTCGATACATCGATAGGCCACCGCGAGTCAATGTAAAGGCCAGATATGCATTCAATCATCTCCAAACGACCTTAATGAAGTAGAATGCATGGCGCATCTCTCAGGGATTGATCAGTGCCGAGAGCGTTATCCTTTTATATCCCCTATCCCTTGATTTTAAATTTGTTTGAAATCCAAGTTTACCAAAAATAGGGACGAAATTTTATTTTCCAAAGATTTTTCACTCAAATATGACATACACAAGGATTAACGATGCAGTGAGGGTCAATATCGTGTCCTCGTCAAGTGGATTCTGACTGTTTAATCGTATCTGTGTTCAAAGTGTTCAAAAAATCGAGTTGAAAAGGTCTTATACGCTCAAAAACCGATTTTTATTTCCGTTTGAGAGTAAGAGAGTAAGACAGTTTCTATCCTGTAGAGAAGACATGTGGACTGTAATGGTTCTTATTTCGATTCTATAGTTCGCTGTGGAATGAGACATTTGCTTACTTAAAGTTGAATGCTTCAACTATAATCACTTATGTGCGCATTGACACCAACGCGCCTGGTCGGTAATATGCTAGGCGAATTTTCTTAAATAGTAATCAGTGCTTTTTCTAATATTTTATCAATTGATAAATAGCTGGAGTGGATGATTTTTAGGTCGACGTTGCATCGAGGCGGTGAATGAGTGTTCTGTGAATTCTCTTAACGACTGCTCTGAGTTCGCCCTTTGTGAGGATGCCAAGGTCAGGCTAAATCGAATCTGATCGTCGTAAAAGTGGAGAACTGAGATTCCAGTCTTCTCCTTAAATCGAACGACCTTTCGTCTGTTCACCAGACATCACAGAATCTTTTTATGTTTGTCTCACTAAATTAGATAGAGTATAGAGTCTACAAATTCGAAAAGATCAGTTCATGTTTCTGCTTCTAAATTCCAGGTGAACAGGTAAGTTCTTCTAAGTCCTGTGAAAGAATTGCTTCCAGGAGGGCTACGTTTGCTCGTGTCGAGCAGGCTACGTAGACGCATCACCAAATGTAACTCATTATCCAGGACGGATTTGTCGCAAACCTACCGAAAGATTGACTTCCAGTGACATTGTCACCTCCTTCTCAAAAGATTCATGCGACCCAAAGGTGAGTCTACAATCTACCATCTTTCCAGAATGTCTTCTATGAGAGGCTTTACTATGGTTCTAAGGTACTTTAGTGGCTCATCGCCTGAGGTATCTCAAGAACCTACTTATCCTTAAGGTTGTGAAAGTTTTAACGCAGGGATTGAGCTTTTAAAATGTTGAATCACACAGTAATAAGTTCTTACACAAAAATTATCCAATAGCCTCTCATTCAAACGTGTTAAGCCATCGAACGGTCTTTGCATTTGATGTCGCGCCCTTCTTCCCAATTTTTTAACTAGTTTCTCTGATTGACTGCTAACACAATAAATTTCCAAACGATTCTCTTCTAGAGGTCACAGTGTGGCACGAACGAGGCTTGCACAGATCGAGGTCAACGAGGTCATTACAGTTGCCAATGCGCTGACAATGCTTTTCGCTACTCAGATGGTACTTGCCGAGGTAAGTAGCCTCGTCGGCGATGTTCAACGTATTCAAATCACTCAAACAAGCGTCATGCATTCAAAGAACCCACCTTCCCTCGGCTTATCGGTAGTAACATAACCGAAATTCAGCAGTCGTGCTTGTGAAAGTCGTAACAGCCGCCTGTCGTAATTTTTCCACAAAATTCTCACTACAGTGAAGAGGAGGAAGACGTCGAAACGTCGGCCCAATAAAACTCTTCTCCATCCTTGTGTTAGCTGAATAATTCAGTTATTCAGTTACTGATTATCAACGCAGAGGTTAAATGACTGTCGCTTCTGAAAAACAGTAGTAAAATGTCGTGACCTCGTCGATCACCTTCTATTGCAGACATTCCTAACATGGCTGGTTTTTCAGCTTTAAATTTATGAGCAACTACATAAATCCAAATCATCTACAATACAGCGTCGAAAAACCCCATGCAAACCCTTCTGAGAACTTTCTGAATAGTCTAGCTTGTTCTACCGTTGCCCGTCCATCCACTTTATGGGTTTCTCTTGCTGCAAATGGCTGAAAGCGGCAAGAAGAGTTAGAAAGTAAAGTGTATTAGTATCGCTAGTAAATGGGATAAAGGATGAAGCTAAAGGATAAGGCTCTCGGTGTTCATCAATCCTTGAGGGATGCGCCATGCGTTCGACTTCAGTAAGCATCGTTTGGAGGTGATTGGATGCATATCTGGCCTTTACAATGACTCGCGGTGGCCTACTGATGTATAGAGCCAGTGCTGCTATCCCTCTAGACAAGTCTGCTACCAATTTGCTGATCCTGGAAAGATGAAAAGCTTGGTAGGCTCATGAACGTGGCGATCGATTCCATGTGTGTGTTGCAAGACGCCTCCGACCATTGCACCACACGCACCTAATAGTAAATGAGATAAAAGGAAAAACTCCTCAGACAGATTTTTAGTTGTAGCCGATCAGTTTTTTGTTTAGTTGAGTAACACCCGACTTCAATTCGTCCGAATACCGTTTTTCGACTTAAGGTTTTGTTACAATTCCAATCAGAATGCGTTCAAGTCGTATTTTTACGCTCTTCTAAATTATATGATCTGTTTGAGCGTTTGCTCTGGATCACAGGATCTTCCCAGACGCCTTTATTTTAGGAGCAAGGCTTTCTATTCAGTACCTCGTGTATTTTTAAGCTTTCATACCTCAAGACTATATGCGCAGGACGGCGATTCGCGAGTGCCGGAATGGAGAGGAGAAATCGACTCTGGTCGGTTTTGGTGATGCTACCGTACACAACGGAACTTTGATCGGATATGTTGCGCAACCAACACAAAAAACCCGTGTTATAACTTTTATTTACTACCTATTCTTTTATTATGTCAGGCTACTATGTGAAATACAATCACAGGGATGCTGAGATATGAGAGAACGCTAGATCTCAGCTGGTCTTTGAACCCGCGACTACCCTTATTGGAGACTAACATGTTATCTACTACACCAACCGATGTCCTTCTCTACCTCTCTCTCGGCCAGTTGTTCCAAGTTTTGCTCTTACCTCAACATTTTAGTGGTTGTATTTCATAAAGCAAAACTTTGTTTACATTCGCATTTTCTAGCTGTTTTTTGACATCTTCGGAAACGTAATTGTTCATAGAGTGATCTGTATCGATCAATTGATGAGGAAAATTATTTCGCTGGATTTCCAGAGCTGGACAATTTAACCGCAGCCCTCATTTTAGCTCCTACTTTCGATGTAACCACTCTTCGGATCTGATCGGCTTTATGGGAAACAGATCGTAGTGTTTAGAGTCGGTTTGTTCCATTGAGAGTTCCTCAGTACTTCACTAACATCAGCTTGATTTCACGCAGTCCTCGTGCAATTTTCCTGAATCGTATATATTACTGGAGATGACCACACTGCTCCGGAAATCTCATAAGAACCTCGTTAGGGCAGTCAGCTTCGCTACTTAATGAACAAAAGCATTCACTACTTAATGGCTTCGCTACTTAATGTCGGCGAAACTTATTTAGTCTTTTGGCCCAACTGACGGCACTTACCGAGATCTACGATTTCACGATCTCCTTATAAAATTTACATCTTGGGAGAAAGTACTTTATTTAAATACCAGCCAATTTTTCCACAATTGACGATTGTTCTGTGTTGTCGGAAACTTTCTAAGTAGTAACCCAAACGAGATGTTTACAACGAGGAAACTTTAACTGATCCAGCAATGATAAAGATAGGATAGCACAATCTTTTCAGTATATACTCTGCTTATTACAAGAGTTCTTCAGTGTTTTCGGCGTGTTCGAAGAACACCGAATGTGACCGCAATGCCGTTTGCCTGAACGTTTTCGACTCCTACAGCTGCCAGTGTCGTCCGGGTTTCATCGACATGTCGCCGGATCCAGAACGAAAGCCGGGTAGACTCTGCAAGGAACGTACGTCCACCAGTTTATCAATTTACCCAACCAAAATGAAACTCAACCGTTTCCGTACTTGACATATTCACGGTAGTGCACGTTTCCCGAGTTGTTTTCTTACTTACACATCTTATTTTTCAGGAATCAGTTAGAAAACTACAAACTCTGTGACACAATAATACGTAAAAATTAGCTTCTATAACAATGTATTTATAATTATGTGCGAGTCCTATAAGCATAATAGCTCTGAGCCATGTGGGGCTCACAATGCTTTCAAATTCTTTAAGAAATCAAATTAATAGTAATCAATCAGCATCTATCTAAAACACTATGTTAATAAGCCTTGAGCCGAATGATTAACGTTGGTTTAGATTTGTCGTATTAAATTCTGAGGTTAGCTAATAAGGTTACTTAGTTAGCTGTAATGTTTGTTAACCAATACCAGGATCCACCACCGTACTGATATCAAAATCGCATGGTGGCAAATCTGCCTCTGATCCACAAGGACGGCGACTGCCTGTGGTGGTGAACACCTGGGGCAGACTTTGGCAAGGCTGACCTCGGGTTTTCAGGGAACCACGAAGGCTTAACCAGCAAAACTCCGAAAAGACGGCACTTATACAGGGGCCTTCACAACTAGTGAGGGCGGGTCATTCAAGTATCATATATCAAGCAAGTTAGTAGTTCATTTGCTTGACGTAGTATGTGGTTTATTTCGGTTATTCTTTCCGTGAAGAGCAACAAATTAATGCAGTAGTAGATTTCTGCTGATGGCAAAGATAACGAAGCAATATTCTACCCATTAGGTATCACAAAGTCACTAAAATTGAACAAAAACCTTGAAATTATCCCATTTTCTTATCCGAGCAATGATGAAAAGATTGTGACTTTTTCAATTGTTGAGTTCCAAAGGAAAAAATATTCGTAGATCGTTTTATGGAACGGTGATTCTACGGAATTCGCTACCTATAACTGAGAACTTTACAACACCGATTTCATTTTCATGCCGTCTATCCTTCCTGCACAACTCCGTGCTCCAGTCACCTGATCTCAGGCCGCCAGGTGTACCCTAGTCTGTAACCAAACAAGTAACTGTATTGTTTAGTGGTGAACGAGTGCGCAACGGCGTCAAATGAATGCTCGACGTTCGCTAAGTGCATCGACCTCACCGAAGGCTACGCTTGCCAATGTCTCGACGGCTACATCGACGTTTCCTCCAAATACAAGCGTCCACCCGGACGTAGATGCACACAATGTGAGTACGAGGCCACACAGACATTTTCTTGTAGAGAAGTTCACCAAGGCGAACAACAACTTGCCCCGTTCTGGACATTTGTTGCCATGAGACCTAATGGGGACCAGTTGTGGCTACTTGCCAACGAGCGACTGTTTACTCATTGTCAAACGGTGATGGTAAGAGCTCCCAAAACACCGAGGCAAATTGCTCGCTAATAGTCCACCTGTGGCACGAAGTGTCCATCATTCTCAACCTTCTCTTAGAACATCACTGCTTATTCGGTTAGGGGATTTGGGGGGGTGGGAGAAACCAACCCTACGTAGAGGTTTGCCTGTGACATAAGAAGTTTTTATTCGTTGATGTGAAACTTAGTCTTTTTTGTATAAAACCGTGTTAGAAGAGGTTTTAAAATTGAGTTACAAGACGCCAGATGTCGATCGAGAGGCATTAACTGCAAGAAGGTCACGGTTATCCACTTAATCTCTGCACAGCTACTCATCTGAGCTGATCTTCAGACAATTTTCCGTTTTTATCTGAAAGATTTCATAACTTCTTGATGTGTTTAGCTAATAACGAATGCGCTATCAGGAGCTTGAACACGTGCGATGATAATGCTGACTGCATAGATACTCCGGATGGATACATCTGCCAGGTAGGTGCCACTGATATCTGAAGCGGATAAGCCTACCTTCGAGCCGTTCACATCGCACCACAGCTAACGGCTTTGCTTTAAAGCTCTCATATATGAATCTCTTTGATAGGAAGATAATTACACCAGCAGCACTGCTGAAGATTCTTCGCGATCGCTATGCGACTATGCATCTGGGCAGGTAAAAAGCGGGGAAGGGAGGAGAAACAGCTGCAGAGTTCACTTCGGGCTTAACTGTGTATTAAGTTGGAATCGTGAGTCCAGAAATGCTATGAAGAAAATCCTTCTTCCATTTCTTCATTCCATGCGATTTTTCTTTTCATTTGGCACACTCAGCTTAAGTTAGTATGGAAACGATGTCGACAATTTCGTATTAGTGGACTTCTCATCGATTATATTTTGGACTTTAAAGATGAAAGGTATGGCTTTTGTGGAACAACTCTGGCAGTCACGTATGAGTGGCTCCTAAGCCCAAAGTTTCTATCAATATTCATCTTTTTTTGTGTATTGGAACTCACATGACCATGCTTGTACTTCTTTACTCTGAACTTCTTATTGAGAGAGTTAGAGTTTTTTGCATCTGGAACGCTAACAGAAAGACCAACATTTATTTCGCTAATGCCCAGTTGAATATAGGCTTTCTCTGCAATTTCGTCACAACTCCGGGCGACTACAATACGAATTGCAGTGCTTCGCCGGCTACGTGGACGTGTCATCAAACGCGAACCTGCCTCCAGGACGAGTATGCACCGTACAAACGACTTGTCCGAAGCAGAAGACCGACCTCGTGTTTCTGATTGATGGTTCTGGTTCCATCGGCTCGTATGTCTTCAAGAACGAGGTGCCTTTGTCGTTAGCTCCAGAAAGGGGTATGACTACGCGTAATTATTACACTTGGTACTTAACCTACTATGAGGAATTAGGATGTTCTGAGAGCTCAACACCGTACAATTAACAATCACAAAACAATGATGCTGAGATATTTGCAAAACTCTGGACAACAGGTGTCTGCTGTGGAGATCGAACATGCTATTACCCTCTCCGCCGGCTATCGCGTTTACCGCCACACCTTGCGGATCCTTCGTTTCGCCTTTCAGCCTTATTTTACGGGCGCTATCACAATCACGCGTCAACGTAATTGAAAAAGCATAGGCAGTAAGTAAAAAAATTATTACATTGTGATTTATAATACAGCTTCAGCTTAACTGGGTTCAATGCCAATTTGTGCCCCCAGATCAATGCGGTTGACACGTGGTTGCTGATAGCACCCATAAAACACGACAGAGAGAAAGGCGAAACGGAGGACTCGCATGGCGTGGTGGTGAACGCGTTAACACCTGGAAAAGATAATAGCGTGTTCGATACACTTCAGACACCTGCCGTCCAGAGCTTGCAAATATCTCAGCATTACTGTGGTTATGGTTCACATAATGCTCTGCCATGAAAAAAAATAGGCAGTAAATAAAAAAGTGAATACAATGTGATTTTTAACCTTAACACTGTTTTTGGCTCTACAAATAGTCCGTTGATTTTTTTGTATGAATCCCGTGTTTTATCACTTCACCATCCCTCGGTCTCTGATCAGCTAGCTAGCTACTATCGGGTATTGGCGATTAGTGAATAAGCCGAAGTCATCAAATCTGATGAGTTCAGGTATTGCGATTCGTGCGCGAGTTCGTGGAGTTATTCGAGATCAGCCTTAATCGCACCCGAGTCGCTCTGATCCAATACTCGGACCAGATTCGTCACGAGTTCGATCTGAACCAGTACACAGACAAGGTGACAACGTTCATAGCTTCTCTATGTAAAAGTACCGTTTAGTTTTCATGTGAGAGGAAATTCTTTCACCTGCTATTCCAGATTATTTCAAATCTTAAATTATTCTTGATTTCCGATTTCAGAGGCAAGAGACTCAAACATCAAGATATCGTAACATTTTGCTTAAAACCATTGAAGTATTCTCCATTGGAACACTTTCCGTACATTCAGTTCTCTAATATTAAATATAAATGGAACAGGAGAAACGAAGGACCCGCATGGTGTGGTGGTGAACGCGTTAGCCTCCGGAAAAGGTAATGGCGCGTTCGTTCTCCACCGCAGACACCCGCAGTCCGGAGTTTTGCAAATATCTCAGCAATGTTGTGGTTGTATCTCAGCATCGTTGTGGTGGTATTAAATATAGAGTTTCCTTACGACTTCGTCACATCGCTGAAATAGTGCAACTTACATAAGTGATATATTGTTTTCATATAACCTCTATAAAATATTTTTTGAGTGGAAATGTTTTGGTGCTTGGAACTGTGCATTTCCAGGCTTCCGTTCTTCGAGCGATTACGGAAACTCAGTATTTGACGGGTTTGACTAGGACCGGTGCTGCCATTCAACACATGGTACAAGAGGGATTCAGCGAGCGACGAGGAGCTCGGCCTCAAAAGAACGACATCGCCAGGTGTGCTCATTCGGGCTTTTCTGAACGAACAATCATGCCACGTGATTTATGATCTCACAGTAAGCACGTAGTCCATTGCAGTTTACCAGTTACCGGTCACTGTCGCTACTTAGCGGTGGTAAAGGTGCCACTTACTTGACGACCACTAACATATTGAGCCTCATACGGATTATTGTCTCATGGGTTTAGGCTTAGTGGACCATGCATTTCATGTCTTATTCATTTTCTTTCCTGTTGTTCCTTCTGGTGCAGAGTTTTTCCTTTGTTAAACTTTTTATATTTAGTCGTTGGTTAACCCTCCATAGATGTTGACACCTAATAATTTACAAAAATGTGATTTTTGGGCAAATTTATTCATTAAGCCATGGAGGCTGTTACTGACTAGAAGGATATAGTCATAGCGAGAGTATTACGAATGAGGAGGGTACTAAGATGTCTATGTATTACGTACTGATTAACTGATTTTGTACTGACAGAGTAGCACAAAAACTTTTACAAATGGGGAGGATACTTGCTATCTCTATTATTAATATGGATATCTATTCAATAAAATGTTTTGCGGCTTATCATGTCTCTCAGAATAGGTGGCTGTTTTTACAGGGTGGCGATCATACTCACCGATGGCCGTTCTCAGGACAATGTCACCGGGCCAGCGGAAACAGCTCGCAAACTCAACATCAACACCTTCGCCATAGGAGTCACCGATCATGTGCTGGCCAGTGAGCTTGAGGCAATCGCTGGCTCTCCGAACAGATGGTTCTACGTGGACAAATTTAAGGTTGCAATCTTATCCAGAGATTATCCTTTTGGACACCCATTCCTGTGGTAACTCATAATTGATGATTCAAAGCTTAGCTGAAATGGTATAACGGGCTATATCCCCTCTATCCCGCTGCATGTTTAAATCCGAACGTAGTTCTTTGAATTGCTTCACAGTTTTTCATGATGAGCAAATACGATATTGTTATTACTGCCTCGGGACTCCAGGAAGCCACAATGGCTAAACCAGCGAATCTCCGGAGAATGGAAATTATGTTGGGGCACTCACAACCAGTGAGGATGGGCCGTCCAAGTATCATATTGCACAAGAAGCTTGCGGATGGCGTGCATTGTGGGCTCATTCGACACAGCACAAAAGGCGGTAACGTCGAAGGACTATTAGAACTATAACTATTAGGACTATAACGTACACGCTATTAGGACGCGCGTTATGCAGACGATCCAGGAATATTTAAGTATTGTTTCGAGAAATAGCGAAGTTGTCGATGCATCTTTTAGTGGCCATTATATTCCAGGATCTGGATACTCGTCTCCGCTCGATGATCCAGAAGGCTGCATGTCCTTCCCCGCTGAAGGCTCAGTCGCCCTCACAAGGTACATGCAATCCTCGGACCCAGACCGGATGTGATCGCTCACTGAATGAATATTGCATTCAAGAAAACGAACGGTCAGTTTACCTTTCGCCATTACCATTGTGTTCGTTAAAAAAGCAAGAATTATATATGACTCAATGTGCTACGATTACGGTGTACGACTCCCCATTTGTACAGCGTATCGGTCAAAGTGTGCGAAACTGTAGTCAACTGAGGATCCAAGACACTACTTGCAGAACACGTTGCACTTGTCCTAAAGGATTCGGTCGCCATCCGACTACTCGTGTATGTGGCGGTTCGTTGTGCAATCCACAGCTACTCACCTCATGCGCTTATCCTGAGGAGTGCCTTATTACGCCATTCAACAACTACCGTTGTGCCTGTCCAAGCGGATATGCCAGAGAATATAAGACCGGATTCTGCGGTATTGTTATCAACATTCGCATTAATTTCTCCAGTTCTTTCTATAGGTTTAATTTTAATTTTTTTTTAATTTTAATTTTAATTTTAATTTTAATTTTTTTTTTCGCTTAATATTTTTACATTGATTCACTAACGGAAAATACGCTTTAGTGTCCACCAAGGAAGTTCGTATCTTCCCTCAACACGACGCCGATTGTCATAACGGCGGTCAACGCTGTGGCGAGAATGAGTACTGCACTAGTGACAGGGCAAACCATTGGTACTGCGAATGCATGAACGGATTTGAGCGAAATCACGCCAACAGAAAATGTAGCTATCCAGGTGAGAATGCGCTGTGTGCTTTAATTCCTGTCACATTTTTGCCTCAACATCTGAGTGGATCTTGCGCATTAATATCTAAAGCTTTTGAATTCGGAAAAGGTAATCCGTATAGCAGAAGACCAGTGATATGCCACTCGAACCCACACGGCTGATGGTTTCATCAACGCCCTGCTTCAACCAAACCTGGTCTTCTTCAGTCGTTCAATAAAAAAAAATTTTTGCGAGCAGTAGAGTAGAGTCGTTATCTATCGACTTTCCCTAAATGTTATTGAAAAACCTAATTTGTAGTAAGATTAATAAACGCAGTAACCATTGTTTAACTTTTGTTCTTGGCCTTCTATAATTTTTATGGCAGGTTACTAAGCGAAATACAACCACAACGTTGCTGAGATATTTGCAAAACTCTGGACCGCAGGTGTCTATGGTGGGGGCGAACGGCGCTATTGTCCTTTCAGGGAGTAACGCGTTCACCACCACACCATGCGGGTCCTTTGTTTCGCACGTCTCTCAGCTATTTCTATCGATCTTTTTGCCTCAACAATCACCCGTCAGCGAGGTTGACCGCTCGAGCGCAAATCGGCATAGAACCCAGTTAAGCTATGGCTGTAGTTGAAATCACAATGTTTAACGTTTTGTTTTCTGCCTTCATACAACCACAACGTTGCTGAGGTATTTGCAGTAAGCATTGTCTGATGATTTGTTTTTGAATCTCAAGAAGAGATTTGTTTCTATAACCAATGATCACCATCGAAGACGCCTCCCTATGCTGCAGGATCGTGCCTTCCGAGTCAGCCGAACTCTTGCGATATCCGTAAACGGGAAAAATGTCTCCCGCACGGACAGTTCTTCACGTGTCAGTGTGGTCAATTCGAGAAAAGACATCCAGTCTCAGGAATTTGCTGTGAGTTCGAATATTTGCAGTTTTATATACTATTTAGAACTTCTGTATGACTTGAAATTGAAGAATTAGCCCAGAGTGTTTAAACTATGCGACATATCTTTCAAACCAAAGTAATACGGGTAACAAAATTGATTTTTTTAAAGCAGATTTTTTAAGTTTTCTCATTTCACTTTATTTCGACTCTTGATAGAAATGATACAAGCACTCCTGTTCCTAGGATCGACTTTCTATTAACCTCGGCATTGGATTATAAATGCGTCGTTTTCTCGTTGTGCAATCGCGAGACTGTTACACAGTATCCGTTTACTTCCATACAAAAGCATACAATACAACAGTAGCTGACACTTCGGCAGTATCGCCTCCTTCAGAGGAACTTTTAAGGTGACTTCCACTGAGGAAGATTAGAACAGCTGATTATAGTCGCATATGGTTGATGATTCTGCTGAACGCACAACACTCTGCTGCTCATTGCTGAACAAGAAAACGACGCATTTACAAGCACTACTTTTAACAGACTGGTTCATTGATTATGCTGAGTTGGAGTTTTCCACAAGATATAGCGACCCACTAAAAGAACTGTAAAATACTGGGTTCACTGTCGTTTTCTGCTTCCCAAATTATTCCCGTTAACGCATGATTGTTGGTAGGAACGCTAGGATAAAAAATTGGCTGGACAGAAGACAAAGCAAAGTGATCGATGGTTCAATGGGTAACATGTGAGCTCCGGAAGTGGTAACCGACAGGCTCAGGGTTGAACTCACCTGAGGTTTCGAGTTTTGCAAATATCTTAGTAACATTATGGCTGTAAAATACTGTTATCAGCAGGAAGTCTTCAAGCTCTCATAACCTATACGACTTTGCCTATTTATTGTTTAACAAAGGAATTGACTTCTTTCAAGATTCGATGATTCAGCTATTGCGAACAGTTGTCATAGGTTCTCAGTTTACTTCCAAGTAATGCAATTCTTTTCCAGTGAAGAACGAATGCGAGCTGCATACTCATAACTGCGATCGTTCCGCACGATGCATCGACACTGATGACGGCTATATGTGTGCTTGCCCTTCCGGATTCATCGATAGATCTCCGGATCCAGTCGGAAAGCCAGGGCGCCTTTGCGTTGCCGAGCAGAATGAGTGTCTTGACGGCTCTCACAGGTTGGCTTCGATTTGTTCTCCACTATCAAGCTGCTCATGATTGCTACGGTAATATGATGAATTCCTCATAAAGTCAAGAGACTACTTAATTTTATTCCTTAATGTCGTTTGCACATACAAAACCTTATGTTAAACTTCATTAACCCTAACTTAAATTGCCAAAACTACACTTTTTCGACGAGAAGTTTTTATGTTGTTGGCTTAAAGTCCGGTGATCTATTAAAGAAAAGGTTGGAAAGTATTTTCATTAACATTTTAGGTTCTAAAGAACATTCTTTCGAGGACTTGTTGAGTTACTTAGGAATATTTACTGGACGACAATGTTAAAGTTTTCTGCGCTTTCGCAAAATTAGCGTCGAAATTTTTTAAGGTCTGCATTTCGTCTGGATTTGTGGTCCTAAAAGAGTGTCACCCGATGGTTCGTCAAGTGGTTACCGTAATCCCTTGCTAGAGCAACATCAGCTTTGAGAAGTGTTTTCAATATAATCCTGCTTTTAAGAACGTCTGCGACCGTCCTACAGAAATCACATTTGATAGATGTGATGCAAAGCGGAAAAAAACGAAAGCTTCTTTTGGCCGAAGCAAACAATCAAAACATTACAGTATGTTGCCGTTGAGTCCTTGCGGTAGCCCTTTACTTTCAGATTACGCTCACGCTGTCAGAAACTATTTCTTCCTTACGCTTACCACCATTTCTACTTCTTTAATCACCCTTCAAAAACGATTTTCTATCCGTGTCTCCGGCAAAATGCTGGAGTAAAGCTGACCAGTAGGTCGATCAGAAGGCATGTAACCCAAACTCGTTACTTGATCATAAGACTCCGAGTGAGAGGTGTCTCGATTTTTATAAGTTCTCCTGTAAAGGTGTAAATGTTATGGAGTTGTCGATCCCAAAATAATACCAGAGGAGCTTAGTTAGATGGTGGCGTGTGATCGGACCAATGACCATGTTTCTAGTGCAAGACACCTCTAACGACTGTACTACACATATGCACGGTAAGAACACTATGCAAAATTTCTTTCTTTCAGACAACACAGTACTTCTAGAATAGTAATGTAGTGTAAAATATGATAATAATGTCTGGACGGTTATGGTGAAGGAGCAATTGTTTTAGCTTTTGTGCATGGTCTTAATAGTCTTTTTAGGTGTTCGCCGAATGCTTTGTGCACCGATACAGAATCTGGTTACGTGTGCAGATGTAAATCCGGCTTTGTTGATTATTCTCCGAATCCTCAGAGGTTTTTCATAGCTCGCTTGCAGGATGTTTCTGTGTAAGATCTCGTGTCTTTAGCTTTCCCGGACTTATATGTAAGGAACTGGTGAACGAGTGCTCGTCATCAAAACTAAACAATTGTGACAAAAATGCCATCTGTATCGACACCATCGAAGCGTACACCTGCATCTGTAAATCCGGCTATAACGATATGGATGAGTTCCGTAACCCTGGACGTCACTGTCAGAAAGGTGAGTAGATGGTCATGGTTTAGTAAGCAACGCTACTCCAGCTCGTTGCTGGTTATCTAATAGCCTGTGCAACTTTGTTTGAAGGCAAAGGCTCCGAAGTTTCCATTTAGTTGTTTCCCAAGTTCAGAATTCTTCTTACGTATTTTACCATAATGCGCCAAAATGTTACGACACATTTTGTCTTGCGAAATGTGTAACATTGAAAATCGTGTTAAATTTCTTTTTGCGTTTTGTATCCTTTGCCTACGATTTTAATCCTATGCATTTTGAGCGAAAACAAATGATCGCTGCTCCACTGGCGGTAACGACTGTGACCGAAATGCTCGCTGCATCCAGATTGGTGCGTGCTTTTTCAAGACATTCCGAGTCTCTAGAGTTCTACATGGAATCTTCTCTGTGCAGGCGATGCCGACTATTCATGCATGTGTCCTCCCGGCTTCAAGGACAAATCGCCGACGTCTTCGCGTCCCGGACGACTGTGCATTCCTGTGATCCCTGAATGCGACAATCCTACTCTCAACGACTGCGACTCACCCGACCGTGCGATTTGCACCGACACTGATGACGGCTATATGTGCAGGTGACTCCATGAAGTGTGCCGGCTAACACTAGTAGAATCAGTTTCTTTCTTTAAAAACATAGTTGCAACAATGTCTGTCATATATAACCGAAAATTCCGAGGGTTAAGCTTTCAACTTTCCGCACGAGCATCATATCTCAAATGATAGTATCTTACTAACCAAGGCGTAGGGTTATAAAGGATAAGTGTGTAGATCTTTCTTAACTAAATACTAGTTTTTTATTCCATTACGAAGAATTTTTTGGTTTATTAATTTGCTGATAATTCAATGTTTTTCATCAATAAGCAGACACGAGGTTGTTAATATAGAATTTATTAGAACACAATTGCTGACGTTTCGGCGGTTTCGCCTTCTTCAGAGCCTGGAAAGGTCAAATTGAGATGTGATCTACTCAGCCAAACACTTTCACAACCCTAGCAGATAAAACTTGACAATTCGATTTGCATTCGCATAAGAAACAGCTTCATTCAAACACCTACCGTTTATTTGTTGTAAGTATTTAAGTTAGTTGGTGGATAGCCGCCGCACAGAGTAATAAATACATGGTCGATAACTGTGTCCATGTCAGGTCATTGGATCAGCCTGAGGTATGGCGCCAGGTCACGCGTGATGACAAGACACTCCTTCTTGCGGTTCATTTTTGAATTTTTGGCATTGATCCAAAACGCTTCAAGAGTTTTACGCGCTGATGTTTTCGATTCCTGCGTAAGGATAGTGACTCCTACCTCAAAATCTTCTCCGTTGTGTTCTTGCATCCTATGCGCGCCTAGTGGAGTATTTTGTTTTAGTTTAGATTTACCGACTAGGTGTTCTTTTATGCGGACGCAGAGCGGTCTACCCGTTTCGCCAACATATTCGTGCCCGCACGCTTTACAAGAGATCAGATAGACTGTACCCGAACTCATGCAATCACCGTCTCTACCNGGATCAGCCTGAGGTATGGCGCCAGGTCACGCGTGATGACAAGACACTCCTTCTTGCGGTTCATTTTTGAATTTTTGGCATTGATCCAAAACGCTTCAAGAGTTTTACGCGCTGATGTTTTCGATTCCTGCGTAAGGATAGTGACTCCTACCTCAAAATCTTCTCCGTTGTGTTCTTGCATCCTATGCGCGCCTAGTGGAGTATTTTGTTTTAGTTTAGATTTACCGACTAGGTGTTCTTTTATGCGGACGCAGAGCGGTCTACCCGTTTCGCCAACATATTCGTGCCCGCACGCTTTACAAGAGATCAGATAGACTGTACCCGAACTCATGCAATCACCGTCTCTACCGTCAGGGCAAATTATGCCGTTTTCGTTGTACACAGACGGTCATGTAGGCGGTTGCGAACCAGCTGGCGTCTTAGAGTGTCCAGTGGTATTTCTATCACTCTTATGGAATTCTCTAGACCGGCCCTTATTAAGCAGCGTTTTATAGCTGCACTTATTTCGTTTGAAATAAAGGGCAACAGGAACGGAGCCTTGTTTTCGCTAGAATTATCGCTCTGGGGCGTGGGATTTCCTCGATGCCTATCCTGAGAAGCTGCTGATAGTTTTTTTTCTTTTTTGTCGAGGTTTTGATTTCGAGCATCGAAGCGACTGAACAAGTGAGATTTCGTCCAGTATGTTGCGATAGCATCGATGAATGTATCCGTTAATAGTGGCAACTGCTGGGCTGGCGTTGGAAATCTTCAATTGAAGTGAACATATTTTTTTTATTTTATTTCATATAACCCGTCTTCAAGTCTACTGTATGGATCTCAGCACTTCTCACATTCGACTCGCCCCTCGCATCCATTTTCCATGAAGGTCTTCCAACTTTTACGTGTGGCTTTGGCTACTGATTGAAGGCTTTCACTTCATCTTGAATGTCGTAGAATGCTGGTCGAGCGATTCTCCGTGGAGTCCAGAAATAGCCGAGCTGGAGCGTTCCCAATTGAATTGCAAACAGTGATTTTTTCCCAGACAAGTCCGGCACCAATTTCCCGACCCCAGAGGGATTAGAGGCTTGGTAGGCCCGGAGCGAAGTCGAAATAACACCATCCTCGTGATGACGAACTGCATTACCACTGTGCTATCCGCTCTCTGAAGTGGTCATAACGGATTTAAAAATTACGTATGCCTCAAAATAATAGGATGATGTCTCTTCTATAAATTTATCTCGTCCTCACATACTCTAATTACCAAAATATTGTGAGCAATTACCAGAAACCGGCTCTATCGCCAACATTTCAAAGACAGCGTTTAAGTCGATAATTCTTTTTGCAGTATGCAAAGGATTACTCTATTCTCCTAAGTTGATAAGTCTGAAGCAAAATCCGATGAAGGATTGAATACATTGCGAGAACTTTGCATTCAAAACACGTGATCCTATTTTCAGATGCCGGCAGGGATTTCTTGACATATCTCCCAATATCGCCACGAAACCAGGAAGGCTGTGCAAACCGCGTACGTTTAAGGCTTATGCATTCAAGAAATATGTTTGACCGCTTTACGAATGTGATACAGTTGTGTGATGAGTTTGGTTAGATGGGCTTAATGATGATGAGATGAACTTAACTTCTTCAAATCCAAGCCAATTTTGCTGTCGGTTAAAAGCTGATGCAGACATTAAAGCCGAAGTACCCGTTAAATATCGACAAATCCTTTGCCTACAGTGCAGAATGAATGCGCTCTTGGTACGGACGACTGCGCTCGGGACGGTGGTATCTGCGAGGACACGCCGGATTCATTCCTGTGTCGTTGCGCCCTTAACTATTTGGACGTGTCGTTTGATAGACAGAATAGACCTGGCAGAAAATGCAAACGATGTGCGTTTGAGTCGTTTTTCTTTCATGATCCATACAAATTTACACATCGTTTTGTAGTGGTAGACGAATGCACAACCGGTCAGAATGATTGTTCCCGTGAAGCGATCTGCACAGATACGGAGGACAGCTACATGTGCCAATGCCCATCTACTCATATTGACCTCTCGTCAGATCCCGTTAATAGGCCTGGAAGGAAATGTCTGCTTAGTGAGTAAACTTGTTGGGGAGATGCAAATATTTTTCCCAATGCCAGAGAGCAAGGCCTCACAATCTTTAAAGGAGTGAACGAATGTACATCGGGTCGCCACGACTGTTCGCCAAACGCTGACTGCATGGACACTCCGGAGTCTTTTAAGTGTCGCTGTCGTGATGACTTCGTCGATGAGTCGCCCGATATTGTTCGCCGTCCTGGTCGGATCTGTCGACCTGCACTCGTGGACGAGTGTAGACTGGGTAAACACGACTGTCACAATGATGCTGTTTGTCAGGTGCGATTTCAGTACCATAACCTCTTAACCAAGCAATTTCTGCCGTTTTTTTTTGTCTTAGGACTTACCCCAGGGCTACACTTGCCGGTGTAGGTCCGAGTTCTTGGATCGCTCACCACATCGCATCACCCATCCGGGAAGACTCTGTGAGCCTCGTCCAACTCCACCACCACCAGAGTGTAGAATCGACGGTCCTAATCAATGCAAAGCTCACCTGAATGAAGTGTGTCGGCTAGTGAATGGTGAACCGAAGTGCTCTTGTCCTATTAATTACCAACGAGATGCTACGGGGTCGTGCTCAGGTATGTTTTACTCGAGATTAACTGAGTTGAGGAAATGTTGTTCTTTTGTCAGAGCATATGAATTTTGTTTTTAGTGATAAATGAATGCGACTTTCCTCAACTCATCGACTGCCATCCATCGGCTGAATGTATCGATCAGTTGGTAGGATACACATGCAAGTGTCGGCAGGATTTCAAAGATATCGGAGAGAAACCAGGTCGAATGTGCAAACCATGTATGTCGTCGGCTCAACGTATTTTAGAAGAACTCTTTGGAGATTGTAGCCACGTTTTTTAGTAGTAAACGAGTGTCAGTTTCCTCATCTAAACGACTGCCATCAACATGCTCAGTGTATTGACAAGGAGGAGGGCTACGAATGCAAGTGAGCATCGGATTGACTAGCAGCCCACTTTTGTTTAATTATTAGCTAGACTTAGCTGGAGTTAACTTCAATCTCAAACCACAATTTTTCTGATATAAAGCAGTGTTTCATAAGATTTTTCCACTGCTATAACGGCAAAGACGTACATTTAGATGCAACCATGGGTTCATGGATCGCTCTCGTGGACGACCAGGGCGAATTTGCAAGCAACTCGTTAACGAATGCGGTGTAGCTGGCATGAACAGTTGTGACAGAAACGCCAGGTGGAAATTCCTTCTCTTGCACAAGTTTATCGTACGCTAAGCAAAAGGTTTTAGATGCATTGACGAGGAAGAAGGTTATCGTTGTGAATGTCGTGACGGATTTCTAGACGTGTCGCCATCTCCGCAACTCAAAGGAAGGAGCTGCAGAAAATGTTGGTGACCATTGATTGACCTGGTTAAAAAAATGGCTCTGATCTTATTAAACTTAGTGGTCAATGAGTGTGGCGATCCGAAATTGAACGACTGCGATCGAAACGCTAAATGTCGTGATACAATGGATTCGTACGAGTGCGAATGCCCTGCGAATTCAAAGGACATCTCACCAAGCCCTGCATTCCCGGGACGTGTCTGTCTGCTATGTGAGTTGCTAGACAAGTATTAGGTGCAGGCAGCTTTATTATAGTCGTCTATAATCATCTGGATAGAATTGAACTAGTCGACTCATTTTAATGGGAAAAAATAGTTCAAAAGGTATACTGCGAAATACAACCACAATGATGCTTAGATATTTGCAAAACCCCGGAGAGCAGGTGTCTGCAGTGGGAAACGAACACGTTGGCAGACACCTGCGGTCCGGAGTTTTGCAAATATCTCAGCATCATTGTGGTTGTATTTCGCATTATACCATACCTCGAAAAATTATGGCAAGGAGCAAATAGAAAATTACCATTGTGAGTTCAAAAGGTTTTTTGAATTATGAAAGAATAACTCAAAAGTCCGAGTTTCTATAAACTTCGGCATAAATTGTTGATGTTTTCATTTCTACGTTCCTATGAACTGATCTTGCTGAGCTGATGCGAGGTTGGTATAAGTCTTCGTTGTCGTTGCTTGATGGCTGACGTTCCGGCGATTTCGCCTTCCTCAGAGCCTGGTCGTATTTTATGTAACAGTAGCTTTACATTCAGTGAAATATTTGTAGTAGTAATGAAGAACAAACTTCCAAATAGATGCCATATTGATCAAACGGCCACTCAAGGTGCTGATCCACGCGTTGTTCACACGGAGTCGTGAGCGAGACCCATCGAAGTGGAAAGATAATTTTGAAATAAAGCGCCAGGTCACGCGTGATAGTGAGGCATTCGTCCTTCCGGTTCATCTTTGGATTTTTGAAATTTCTCCAAAACGCCTCAAGAGTTTTGCGCGTTGATGTTTTTGATTCCTGCGCTAGGATCCCCACAGTCACTTCAAAATCATCACCATTATGCTTTTGCGCTCTATGTGTACCTAGATGAGTATTTTGACGAATTTCGACTTCCCCACCTAGGTGTTCTTTTATGCGGGCACAAAGCGGTCTACCCGTTTCCCAATGTGTTCTTCACCTCATGCCTTACATGAGATCAAGTATATTATACCTAAACTCATGCAATCCTCATCTCTCCCGTTAGGACAGATCACACAGTTTTCTGAGCTGCACAAACGATCATAGAGACAATCACAACGTTGCTGAGATATTTGCAAAACTCTGGACCGCAGGTGTCTATGGTGGGGAACGAACACGCTATTGTCCTTTCCGGGGAGTAACGCGTTCACCACCACACCATGCGGGTCCTTACTCCCCGGAAAGGACAATAGCGCGTTCGTTCCCCACCATAGACACCTGCGGTCCAGAGTTTTGCAAATATCTCAGCAACGTTGTGATTATAGAGACAGTTACGAACTAACTGAGGAATTTGATGGGATGTCAATGATCGTTACATAATTTTCAAGACCACTTCTTCTTAGGCACTTGTTGGTGGCGTAACTTATTTCATTTGATATGATATGAAGGGTAGCTTAAAAACTGTCTTACTTATGTTCGAAACATTATTTTGAGAAACAGCTCTACACTTTTATCTGACCCCAGTTGCTTTTGCTTCGTACCCGTTGGAAATGGCTATTTTTCGTGCCAAGTTTAGCGATTCATTCCACCGCACAGCGCGACAACTTATACCAACCTCGCATCGGCTCAACAAGATCAGTTCATGAGTACATATAAATAAATATAGAAGAAAACCATGCCACTTGCTAATCTAAGACTTCGGTCTTCGACATTGAATCGGTATTTTCAACAAAAAAGACAGTTACTATAACAAATTCCATATTGAGCCGCTACATTTCATGCATTCCCACACCTCTACTGCGTTACTTACCTCCTCGTGTCATCCCATAAGATACTAAAACGACACCGCACCGATCGTACCTCAAAACTTCTGAACTTCTGAATATGAACGATTTACGAATTCTGTAAAATGCATTGTTTTCTGCAAACATAGGGATCTTAGGATTCCAGCTTTTGCCATACATAATCATACAAAGCTAACAAACACTAATGTTCACAAGGACCATTAAGTTTTATGAAGAACAGCCTACTTGGCGATCTCACGACCAGCCTAATGACCAATTTGTTACTTACTTTAGTTGCCTATTAGAGTATATCTACATTGCTTTGGAATGGAGAATTAATTTGGAAACAATGATTTCCAGTCGAGAATGAGTGCGAGACTGGCAAGCACGACTGTGATCCGTCGGCGATTTGTCACGACAACGAGCAGTCGTTCTCCTGTGAATGCCCTACCGGCTTCATTGACCGCTCGCCCAACAAATTAAATCGTCCTGGCCGAGTTTGTGTTAAGATGGTGAGCTATCATGATTTCTCAGCGGTCTGTCAAAGCAGATTGATTGCCGAATTGGAGTTCAGGTAGATGAGTGTCAAACCGGACGTCATACCTGCAGTGCTCAAGCAGATTGCCGTGATCTGGAGGAAGGTTACACGTGTGAATGTCGAGAAGGCTATGTGGACCGTTCACCAAATTTAGCTAGCCAACCTGGAAGGGTCTGCAGTGCTCCAGGTTCATTCGGACTATCCGTTTCAGTTTTGCTGGCGTTATCTGAAGTTGCTTCGTTTAGAAGTGTGTCCGTCGAACAACGACTGCAGTTCGGCTGCTGTTTGTGAACCTCTTGGAGGCAATAAATACCAATGTTCGTGTATTCAGGGCTACATTGACCAGTCACCAGGTGAACAAAAAGGCCGCGTTTGTGTTCGAAGTGAGTTTCTGTTGAAACACTACTTTGGAAAACTAAAAGATACGTACATTTGCGGAATAATTGCGTATAATTCCCTTTTATAGAAACGTGTTACGAACAAGGAAACATGCACACTTTTATGTTTGCACAATTTGAAAACATTCCAGACAATTGCACTGATTCTTGGAAACAGTTGTTTTTTTGAGAGGCTGAGAGAAAGGCCAAACGAAGGACATGCTTGGTGCAGTGGTGAACGTGTTAGCCTCCGTAGAGAGTAGTATAGCGTGCTCGGTCCCCACTGCAGACACCAGCGTTCCGGAGTTTTGTAAATATCTCAGTATCATTATGTTTATATTTCACATAGTACCCTCTCATTAAAAAAAGAGTAGGCAGTAGGCAAAAAGTGACGAGTTGTTTTTTCCTGTACTTATTTTTATGGTGAAATGTTGTATGGATGTTTATTCATTAATTTGCAGAATTATTAGGACGATGGATTTCAGTGCGGATTACTCGAAATGTCCTTCTGCCTTTGCAGATAACGCTTGTCGGGACCGCAAGTTGAACACGTGTTCGCGGAATGCGATCTGTTACGACGAGGCCAAGGGCTACCGATGTGAGTGTGCCCGAGGATTCGTGGACCGATCTCCCGATCCGGCGTTGCGCGGACGTGTTTGCGAGCCTCCCCCACCACCGACACCTCCACCTCGTCAGTTGTTTTGTTCTTCTTTTCGATAGCGTATGGGTCAATTACCAACATTATCACAAGAATTGAAGTCATTGTAACTCTCTCATCTTTTGTAAGGCCTCGACTGTATCTCTCTCTTTTGAAAGCCCTGGTCAATTTCGTGTGAATTAAATGTCTCATATTCTTCATTATGACGACTGAATACAGCACTAAGGAACTTTTTGCGATAAGGTTTTCTTTGTCTTGCAGGCCATCCTTGTCAAGATCCGAATTTGAACGATTGTCATCCGGCCGGAACGTGCAGAGCTACCGGTGTGGAGACCTACACCTGTGAGTGCCTGCAGGGTTATGCCGACAAGTCACCCGATCCAACGAAACCAGGACGAATATGTGTTCTGACGGAACCCGTCTGTCTAGACAAAACGTCAGTGTTAAGCTTAGTGTTTTATCTAATATAGCTAGAGTTACATAACAAACAATAATATTAAAGCGGCAAAAGTGCCAGCCATAAAATTTCCGTCATTCAACTTTGATGTGCTCTTTTCATCCAGAAAAGGAACCGTTTGCCACTTACTGAAAGGACTTAGTCAATTTGAATACGTTTTTAGCCAAGATAGCAACCATTTTTTCCTAACGACTGCTATTAACGTATTGAATCGCCCACATTCTGTAAGATGAGACCCGATATCAAAACAGGCTACTTCATATCACTCTTCGTTTTTTCTTTTTGTGTCGCAGAACACTCCATTGATATTTCTTTAATAGTCAACTCCATGCAAGTGTATTTTGTTTTTTATTTTTTTAAACATTTTTGATGTATATGTAAATATACCTACATGCATATATATGTATATATATATATATATATATATATATATATATATG